TATAAACTTAAGGTTATATCTTTTTATATATCTTTTAGTCTTTTTTTTTATAATACCTTAAAGCTTATAATAAAATTTATTAGTTATTATAAAAGCTTATAAGTAAAAGCTTATATTAGGGAAAAAAATATTATATTGTTATTTATTATCTATATTTATAGCCTAAAGCTTAACCTTATAGGCCGCAGTTATCCTATAGTTCACCCCAGATAAATCTAGGTTGCACCACGCAACAATTCTTCCGGGAACCACGACTTTAACGCTGGAGCTACCTATGGAGGTCCGGATCGTAATGCGCAACTCTTCTGCCAGTATTTATCATGGTCCACTGCTCTATGCATTCGATATCCCTTATACAGAGACGCACCACCAACCACTGAACTGGACCGACCGCAAGCCTCTGGCAGATGAGGAGGTGCACCCCCGGTCCCACGACTATGTCTTGGAACCAACTGAGCCTTGGCAGTACGCAATCGACCCAGATAGCATCGTCGTCAAGACGTCCACATCGAGTATTGAAATTCTGCCCAATCCTATCTTTACAGGGGATGCTCCCCCAGTTTTTCTTACAGTCGATGCTTGGAAGATTGCCTGGCCAGCAGATGGAGATACAGCGGCGTGGCCTCCCATCGACCCATTGGTTGACAAGGATAAAAAGGAAAAGATAAAATTGGTGCCGTTTGGATCGGCCAAGTTGCATATTGCGCAATTCCCTGTGGCAAAGCCTCAATAACAGAATAGACTGGCCAAGTCTCGCAATGGTCACATCCGTCAAGAGGCGTCCAAGGACGTCAGAATAATAGGTTGTTAGGTAAACGTGTTATTTGCAGTTGGGGCTCGTGGCTGAGAGCTTAGATCAGCAGACAGAACTTAGTAATAGTTTGACCGATATGGTCCATGGCTACAACTCCAATGATATTTCGAGATAGCAACATTGCGGCCACGGTCTGTTTTCTAATAGGTTCGCCCTGCTTTCTCTATCTGGTTACTATCTGAGGCACTTCCCGAGCAACAGTCAATGCCAGACAAAGCGCCATCTCTGCCACAGCCGAGGTATTTACGCCAGCAGTGTTTAAAACTTTACCATTGCGTTTCTTGCAAGCCCCGACGTCAGTCCTGTCAAAGCCGACGCCCCGTTCGCAAATGGTTCTCAGTTGCGGTGCCAAAGCAAGGTAGTCCTCTGTGACTTGGTCATCCTTGATGGGTATAGCTGTGGCGTAAAAGTGCCAATTCTCTGTGCTGAGGCCACCATAGAGGATGCAGTCAAAAGACTTTTGGAATACTTTACAGCCTCTGGATGAATGTGACTGCGAGTATATAGTTTCGGCTTTGGTAGGCGGAATCAGCCATTGGTGCGTTGATCGGTATCGAACCCTTTGGAAAATATGACTTCCAACCGCCTCTTGGATCGTCGTAGGGAGAGTTTCTTTTCTCCAGTAATGTCCTCGGCGTTCGACATCAGGTGTCTTGCGAGGGTTGACGTCCAAAGGGAGTAAGTAGCATGGCAACCCCGCACTATCTTACCCCTCACAAACACAGTTGATTGCTCCAAACCGACTACCAACAGCCTCAGCTGACGAGAAGAATACGCCCAGGCTTGAGATTGATATCAAAAGGTTACAAATATTGAGAGCCATACGACCATAGTGATTGAGTCGAGGGAATTGTCTTCCCACTACGTCGAGTTCAGCAATGACGATATTGAATGCATCGGTCCCTTTCCACGCAATGACTGCGTGATCGGAAATAACAGTCCCTTCGGATGCTGACCCGAGGGCGTGGGTCCGCGCGAGATGTGGGGAAGATCTCACGGACTCCGCCCGAAGCTAACGGTGCTTATCATCGGACTCCCCTTGACACTAACTCTATCCAGATTTCAATTCTCGGTGCCAGTGACACTCAGCTCCATGAAGCTCAGTAGCCAAGTCCACTTAGCATCGCTCAATTGTAATGGATATTGGCCGAGTGATATTTCTACAAGAGATATTATTGCAATTGATCTTCCTATCTTGATTTCTGGTGCTTTTCACCCAAACATCTAGATCGAGTAACTTAGCTGGCCATGAGCATAAAACTAGGCCAAAATAGAAAGCCCACTACCGCAGATGATATCAAAGCTTGGCTTAAAGAGTTCTACCGTTATATATCTGATGCTGTCACGCTGATGGAGCTGATGATCAACTGACAACTTGTTGGTGGAATTAAGAGGTTGACAAAACGTAAGTCTCCTACCCTAGAGCTTACCGGTCGCACCGCGTGAGCACCTGAATGAAAATCCCTTCCCGTCTTCTGCTTATCGCCTATCAGCTTATCACAGCTCCCCGCGCGGAGAAGAGTCAGATATTAATTATTTACATCGACAGTCTTGCTTTCCATCTGCGGCTTCTTCATAATGTATTCGTAATTGATAACTCGACTCGGATATCCAGAAAACACTATGACATATCTATAGCATTCGCATCGAGTGCATACAAGCTACTAGCTGGATACAACGGCAAAATATCCGTCGCCAGCCGCTTTTGCCCATAGCACCAATGTCTGCCTGTCTTTAAACGCGACAACATCCCTTGATGACGCCAAGCCCTACCTCAACGCGACGCGAAGCATCCCCTACCATGGTTCCAATTATACTTTATTCGTTCTCGTGATGTCACAAAACGGCTTGTCAAGCGGGCAGAACGAGCGGGCTACGGAGCTCTCGATCTGACAGTGGATACGACGGCCTTGGGCAATCGCCTGCACGAATGGAAAACTCTGCTGAAGTTGCCTGCTTATTTGAACTTGGCTAACATAATTACCATCAAAGCCGGTGGCGGATCGAAGGGCCGATTGATCCTGAACGTCAAGACTGCGGAAGAGGCTACTGAGATTGGGTGGGAGCATTCAGATCTCAACATCGACTCAGCTCTGACATGGTCAGAGACAATTCCCTGGCTACAGCCTCAAACAGACATTAAATCCGTCTCAGGGGAGTTCTCACAGCTGAAGATGCCGTCTTAGCAGTAGAAGCAGGTGTCGACGCCATCGTGGTGTCAAACCACGGCGGTCATCAACTCGACACCTTTCAGCAACTCTTGAGGCTTTACCTGAGGTTTCTCGCGCTGTCAAAGGCTGATTTCCGGTTTACTTTCGGCGGTGGGATCACTAAGGGTTCAGACCTCTCTCAAGCCCTAGCTTTATAAGGGGTAGATCTTTGTTTGTTGGGCAGGTCAGCGCTATGGGATTTAGCCGTGAATGGGCAATAGGGGGTAGGGACGGTACTGAACGTCTTGGAGAGAAAACTGTGGCGCACTATAGTGCTGAGTGGCACGGCGGCAATCAAAGATATCTCTATGTCAATGGTGGGGGTATGGCAGCAGACTTCGGCATTGCAACTGTGAGGATGCTCCGTGGTGGAAAGATTTTTGTGCTGCACCGCATCCATCGATTTATCGCGTGATTGGTGTTCCAAGTTCGCAAAACGGACTTTGTGTTGTTATTTCGATACCAAAATAGCTATTAAAAAAAGGCGTGAAAGTTAACAGTAGCGGTGCAGCCAGACTGCCAGCTGAGAGACGGATCCAGGTACTAGTCTCAATAGTCTGTAGCTCTTTTCACCTCATTGGGCCATGAATCTGTGGGTTATAGGGGCAGCTCAAGCCTCAACGGTCCTCGCACTAACGATCTAGAAATTACAGTCAGTGCATGAGGGGACTAAAAGGACCCAATTTGGCACTTGATTGGCCCATCGATAAACATAAACGCCATGACGTAAATTTCAACCAGTAACCGGGTTTCAGGTTTATTACCAGCCGTGGCCCAGACCACTGCCCTACCACCGGTCGTTAGCTGGACAAACCGGGCTGACCGTTGCTAGCTTGTGTCTTTGATGAGCAGCTAACTAGATCCAACATCCATGAACCTTGCAAGGAAACAAAACATGACCCGATGCCAGGGGAATACGGGGTATTCGCAATACAGCGTGGGTTTTAGTCCAGCCAAATCACAATCGCAATTTAAACAACAACTGAAGTTCTCAGCGCGGCGCAATATGGTTATATTAGTCTCGTAAAGACGAGTCAGTGTTGGGCCGCTGCGAAGAAATTGCCATATCTAGCAAAACGCCTTTTTGACATGGCTATAGATTAGAGACCTTGTATATAACAGCGGGACGATCCTCATTCTGCTTGCAGATCACTCATACTCTCATTCATCCATTCTTTTTTCCCCCAGTCATTCTTTACTGTTCATCACGTTCTTTACCAACATGAAGTCATTCGTTACCTTTGCGGGCTTGGCCTTTGCCAGCTTCGCTGCCGCTGGCCCCTGCAGGCCTCGCACAACCACTACTGCTGCTGCCGTCTCTTCCTCCACCGAGATCGCTTCCTCCACTGCTACTGAGACTGCTGCCGTTTCTACCAGCACGGACTACTCCGTCCCTGTCGTCTCTGAGAGCTCCACTCTCGCTACAGTGATTGTCTCGGAGACTAGCGCTACTGAGACAAGTGCTGGTGAGACAGGCACCACCACTGCCGAGACAAGTGCTGCCGGTACTACTACCGCTGAGACAAGCGCTGCTGAGACCACCGCTGAGGGTACCACCACCGCCGCTGAGACTACCACTGCTGCCGAGGACACTACAACCGCTGAGGGTACCACCACCGCCGCCGAGACTACCACCGCCGCTGAGACCACTACTGCTGAGCCTACTACGACCGAGGCCACCACCACTGAGGCCGAAAACACCTCTGGTACCGCCACAGAGACCACCACGACTGCTGAGCCTACTGCAGACCAGTCTTGCTCAAACGCCGGCCTTCAGTATGCCATCTACACCCACCAGTTCCACAACTCCAATCCTCCTCACTTCTCCGCCTTCAACCCTACCTTCTTCCATACTGCCACTCCTACCTACGAGGGTGAGACCACTCGCATCGGCATCACTCCCGGCACACCCTCCGGCTCTGTCTTCGCCATCTACGACAACAGCCCCGCACAGCTCTGGCAGTACAAGGCCGTCAACCACCAGGCATTCCTCTACGCCCCCGAGACTGGTGACTACACGGTTACCATCCCTAACTCTGATGAGATCACCCTCATCTGGTTCGGCACCAAGGCTATCTCAGGCTGGACTCGTGCCAACGCGGATCTCGAGCAGGACTACCCCGGTGGCACTTCCAAGACTTTTACCATTCACCTCACTGCTGGCACTTATACTCCCTTCCGACTTCTCTGGGCCAATGCTCAGGGTGATCTCAACTTCATCGCTGAGGTCCAGGCTCCTGATGGAACTGTCATTGTCAATGGTGATGGTAGCGATAACAGGTACTTTGTTCGCTTCGCTTGTGATGAGAGCACGCCTTCTTTCCCTCCTTTCGGCGACAATGGAGATTATTAAGTAAGCTGCTGCTCATTCGTACCGGGACATATAGCAAAGTATATAGCGCTTCGTACATGAAGCCCAAAACCTCTTCGAGTATATAGCTATTTTAATACATAACACTCAACGACATTACCATTCTTGACATATACAAACATGCACGTAACAATAGCTAGCTCTGTTATAACTAACACTTTATGACTCTAATGCTTTATAGTACAACCCCTCATTCTTAAGCTCGACATCCGTCTTTTTGCATAACGGAGCTCTTTAAAAGACATACTTGAACTCTAAGCTCTGGTCTCCCTCTTTTCCGTTGCTATCCTTACCCTCTGCGATTAATCTCTCCTTCTGTCGCATGCGGTACTTCAGAAGAGCATAAATGAGCCCAACGCAAACTAGTGCCAGGACCTCTCCTCCGAGGGAGATTGCATTTCCCATGACGTAACGAGGTGCATCCTGGATGGGATAGATTTGCGACGCAGCCATTCCGGATGCGTTTGCAAGTGAGATCAACATGGAGATCGCGACAGATCGCTTGTAATCTGGCTGCATATTGTTCGATACCCATCTACAAATCGTTAGTTGATACTCTGCCGCATGGAGGGGATGTTGACATACGTTACCAAAACAGTGTTGAAGGAGTAGACGCCACCGCCAACGAGGAACATGGCAAAGAAACCTGCAGCCTTGTGCCCGGTACCAACAACTATGGCATATCCGACGATTACCAATAGTGGAGAATGAATGAGGCAGATAGCTCGGCGGTTGAGGCGGTCTGAGACGTAGGTGGTGGCAGCAGTGAAGATGGACGCCAGAACGTAGACGGGAATGCTAAGATAGTTGGCTTGGAGGGACGTATAGCTGCATTCCTGGTTAGTGGAGTCTTGAAAAGGAAATAGAGATGCTTACTCGAGGCCCTTGAGAAGAGTAGGGAGGAATGTACCGAAACCGAACAGGGCGATGGAAGCGCAGAATAGCGAGACGGAAGCAAGCCAGACAAGGGGATCCGTGAGAGCCATGACGACTTGCTTCCACGAGAAACCTTCTGTTTCTTGAAACGGATGGTTGCGCTCCTTGATGAGAACCATAGTCGACTTCTCTTCTTCAGAGAGGAACCAAGCTGTTTGCGGAGAAGTAGGAAGACTCAGCCAGCAAACCGCTCCGATGACGAGCGAGATGGCACCCTCAATAATGAACAGCCATCGCCAAGCTGACAAACCATGTCGGGCACCCATGGACTGAATTCCATATGCGATAAGTCCACCAAGTGCTCCAGAAAGTGCAATCGAGACATAGAGAACCGCAACGCGTTTTCCTTGCGAGGCAGGTGGATAGATCTGAGAGACGACGAAGGTGAGAGAAGGAAAGAGGCCAGCCTCGAAGAAGCCAAGGAGAACTCGACAGGCGATGACCTGTCCGTAGCTATGAACGAAGCCAGTTCCCAACGTGATAAAACTCCAGCTGACGATGGCGATAGCAAGGACACGGCCTGGTCCGAACTTTTTGACGGCGAGAACCCATGGTGTTTCAAAGACGACGTATGAGATGTAGAAGTACATTGATACATCGTTGAATTGAGTCCCATGCATGCCTGTATCTTCTTCGAAGCCGAATACACGTGCGTTGCCTTGGGTATCACGATTAGCTTTCCGAGCTGGAGTTGAGGTTGACAAGGCACTTACCGATATTTGTTCGGTCGAGGTACGCAAATAGAACAAGTAGTGCCATCTGCGGCATAACAAACTTGTCAAACTTGGACAATACCTTTTTCTCGACTTCAGTCATGTCGTTCATCTCGCCAGAGTTCTGATCGAGCTCGTGCTCAAGCGGCATCTTGAGCTCCGACTGTTTCTCTGCGGCTTCCATCGTGACCAGTGTAGACATAGTATGTATTGACAAGACAAGGTGTGAAATGTGGATTACAGGTTCAGATGTACTTCTTTAAGGTCGCTTGCATATCCGAGTTATCACCAGGTGATCTGCTGCACGATGGTCACTTATCCACCCCCGCATTTGATAGTCTGATAGTCAAGTTGTAATAAACCGTCGGCGGAGACAGAAATACTCCACAAGTGGAGATGATTATGGTAAATCCTTCCTTTTTAAAGCATTGTACATGATAGAGGTGAGATAAGACTGATAAGAGATTGTTGGAGTTTCTCTAGACTGAAGACTGAAGCTGCAACGCTGAACTGCGCGATGATCATCTCCAATTAAATTTCGAAAAGTCAATCTACAGTGCAATCAGTCAGAAGCCGTTGATGACAGAGTTCTTTGACAATTACCGCCTCTGGAAAGTCAATTGAAGATAAAGTTCCTGCCCCGCGTTTTTTACATCCTTGTAGCCATGCAAAAGTTATGTCATAGTTCTTCGGCAAGATTGGAGTTTACTTCCGAGCTCCAATAAGCTTCCCAACGAAGAATAGTCTCCGCCAACGGCCGACGGCGGATAACGCCCCACTCTAATCACTCGGCCGTGATCCCCAATGTTGAGAGGGAATGACCGTCGGGGACGATAAAGGATAACGATTGAGGGGAGATTATACATAATTAGGCAAGACTTGGATTTATCAAGTGCTCTTATCGAGGGATTAAATATTAACAACAGCAGATATTTTGAGATAAACCATTCTAGATTTCGCTCAGAATCAGGAACTGGAGCTCCAAACCATTTGCAAACCGTCACGCATCATCATGGGCTCTCTCAGTTTACCACCATTCAAAATCAACGAAGTTGATCTCGCAAAATCGCTTCACGAAAGCTGTCAGTTCGGCGCCGCACACCGCTATGGAAAGTAAGTCATTCTCACAACATCACAATTTTCTCCAAAACTAAATTGATTACCCTAGGGCTTCCACAGAAACCGGCATGGCGCGGCTCAGCCTGGATGACTCGGACAAGCAAGTACGAGATTGGTTCATCACCTACGCCAAGTCGCTCGGATTGAAGACTTCAATTGATCAAATGGGAAACTTGTTTGCGATTCGGCCCGGCAGAAACAATGATTTGCCTCCAGTCATGATGGGCTCGCATTTGGATACGCAGCCTACTGGTGGGCGCTACGACGGTATTCTTGGTGTTATTTCGGGTCTTGAGGTTTTGAGAACGTTGAATGATCATGGTTATGAGACTGTGGGCCCTATTGGAGTGGTGAACTGGACCAAGTACGTGTCTGCGACGAGTATACGCGTGAAGAAATTGGCTGACATTTTGTAGTGAAGAGGGCGCTCGCTTTCCCAAGATGGCTGTGTCTTCAGGCGTTTGGGCGGATGTCATCCCTCTCGAGACCGCTTGGGATCTCATGGAAGTTTTGGCTGCTAATCCCAAGTCGATGAAGGAGGAGCTCGATAGGATTGGCTACTGTGGCGACCAACCCGCTTCATATCGGTCAAATCCCTTTGCCGCGCATTTCGAGCTTCACATTGAGCAGGGACCTATCTTGGAAGATGAGGGTCTCAAAATTGGCGTTGTACACGGTAAGAAAAGTTCTCTACCAGATACTTCACGGTGACTGACAGCGAAAACAGGCGTCCAAGCATTCAAATGGTTCAACATCACCGTCAAAGGCCGCGACAGCCACGCAGGCACAACACCACTGTACGCCCGCAAAGACCCCGTCTTATCCGCCAGCAAAATGCTCGTCGCCGCCAACACGATCGCCAAAAAGCACGACGGCCTCGCAACAACTGGTATTTTCATCACCGATCCCGGCACCGTCAACACAATGGCGCACACGGTAACATTCACCCTCGATCTCCGTCACGTCAAGGATGAAGTCCTCGCCGAGATGGTAAAAGAGTGCGAAGCAGAATTCCAGCGCATTTCTCGCGATGATAGTGAAAAGGGTTGTGAGGTTGACTGGGAGCTTCTGGTAGATAGTCCCGCTGTCAAGTTTAGTCAAGAGTGTATTTCGGTGGTGGAGCAGAGCGCTGCGGATGTTTGCTCGACGCTGCCGCAGAATGAGGAGGGCAAGCTTTGGAGACCTATGATTAGTGGTGCGGGGCATGATAGCTGCTACACGAATCGGGTTTGTCCTACGAGTATGATCTTTACACCGACGAGATCGGGGATTAGCCATAACCCAACCGAGTATTGCTCGCCTGAAGATTGGTAAGTTTTCAACGTGCCATGGAGGACTGGATATGCTAACATGGTGCAGTGCGCTTGGTGCGAGTGTTTTGCTGGGGGCGGTTCTGCGATATGATAAGCTTCGTGCGACGAGGAGCGAGTGACGTGGGTAGTTGGTTGGTGTCATAATTCCATATTTGTATTGTATAGTTAGAGAAATTGCAAATCGTGCTCGATTGAACGGAAGAACAAGTCATGGTGCGAATATTGAGCCGTTGAAGAGAGCTAGATGTGATTGTTTCTTCTTCTTTAGGAATGAATGAATCTGAAACTGCTCAGAGGTAATGACTGTAGGCCCCAGGAACAATTAATATTGATCAGACATATGGCGCTCACGGGTGACATGATTGGCTCATGATAAGGTTGTTGAACTTGAGCGATACAGTTCAAGGCAGCCTCTCATATAGAAAGCGCTCTGGCTGTAAGAAAATATAGAATGAATATCACTAATATCGCCCTACAGTTCATTCTCTTAATAGTTCTATCACTCTTCCACGCCATACAGATGACAACGTGTACCATGACAGACATGATGATGTGCGCCGACACTAACTACCGGCATTCCAATCACGTGCCCCGGACCGGATATCGGCGCCAACTCGGACCCCGCTATCGGCAACTCACTTCATCAATCGAATACCGCGAGCGTGACCTTCAGCAGCATCTCCCTCACAATGAATCATGAGGAGCACCCGCACCGTCAAGTCGCGGGCATAAGACGATACCGCTCCAAGTCGCAAAGACCATGTGATTTGTGTCGCGCCCGCAAAGTGCTCTGCAACATCCCTGATCCGACGCGTCCATGCCAGCTCTGTGATCGCACGGGTCGCGATTGCACGTTTGTGGGGAACCCGAATAAGAAGCCCAGGGATAGTAGGACGAGACGGCTGGATTCTGACGGGGGTGGAGGGACGCCGATTGTTGTGCCGCAACAGGCGCTGAGGCGGGATGTTGGTGTTTATGAGGCGTTGCGCATGCCGGATGGTGAGAAGAGATGATGATGTAAAAAACATGGACTGACGGATAATAGATGTCCAATCTTCAGGTGTTGAAACAGGCCTCGATTTAACTCCTCTGGATGGCACAGTATCTCAATCCATCTTCTCGCCCGGAGGCGGTATCAACTGGGACATCTCATTCGACCAACACGGCATAGACGGCAGCGATCAGCCATTTGACTTCTTCGCCAACGGTGAACTCCCCAATCTCGAACCCCTAGACGATCCAACACCCTCAGACGACTACGGCGAAATTCCCATCGCCACTCCTAGCAAAACAGCAGATCATCCCGCCGCCCTGTTCGAGCGCCTTTCATTTGATCAACGGCCAGACCACTCAACGTCACTAATTGGCTTTTCTAACGAATCTGATCCTTTTTCTCTGAATCATTTCCCGTATTCTAGTAGTGATGAAGTCGACTTTTATCGCGTGGCGTATCGACGGCAGCAACACGCGTTTCCGGCGAATGCTCCGATTCACTTTTTGCAGAGCCAAACGGGGACTGCGATTGAGAGTCAGAAGATTGTTGATAAGTGTATGTCGTCGCTGGGCGATAGGGAACATCTTGAGAAATTGGTTGATCGAGAAACGGGCGTGGCGTTGGTGAAGTTGTATGCCTTTACCCCTTTTTCTATACTGAAGCAATGTACTTACTTAATGTACAGGTACTTCAGATTTGTTTTCGAAGACTTGCCAATTCTTTCTCGCTCTATCGTCTTTGAAGACCTGAATAAGTTTGTCGCAGAGGCTTCTACTGGGTTACTTGCGGGTATATACGCCCTCGCACTGCCCTTCACGCCCTGGGATGAGAAGCTCTGTCTCGATAGTGCATATTTCAAGCCAGACGTCAATGATCTCTGGCAAGTCTCCTACACCTGTCTTCAGAAGGAACTGCACTTCCCTCGTCTCTCAACCATTCAGATATTCCTGCTCCTTCTCAATCACACTCCCTTTGATGTCGTCGTTGTGGAGAACCCATTTGTATGGTCCTTGGCAGCTTCCATGCTGGCTATGGCTCAGTCACTTGGCTTGAATGTCAATCCGACTGGATGGAAGTTACCAGCGTGGGAAGTTCGCCTTCGGAGACGGTTATGGTGGGCTGTTTATGTTGAGTATACTTGGCGTGCAGTAACTCATGGACGATCTTGCATGATATCAGATGATGATTGGGATGTCTCACCACTTACACCTGCCGACTTTTCTCTTGATCCTACCTCCGTGATACCGGAAAACATTCGTCATCAGTCGCTTGATTATTTCATTCGTTTGTGCTCGTTGACCGAGATCACTAGCGGAATTTGTCGACAATTCTTGTAAGACCTCTTCGTAGTCCTATCTTTGACCAGACTGACCGCAATAGCTCCCTCCGTGCCGTATCACGGCCTCAGATTCTTGACTCTTTACTTGAACAAGCTCGTGGTCCACGCCAGCAGCTACTGAAATGGCTGGAGGACCTCCCAGAATCTCTGGCTCTAAGACCGGAGCCGAGCGACAGCGACGCAGATGACTCAGTCAAGAGTCACAGATCCCTCTATGTAGCATATTACACCACGCACATCCTCGTCCTACGAGCACTGCTACGTCCCATCATTGACAGCAACACACAGCTCAGCCACGTACAATCCTCCGTGGAGACAGTCCTCCAAGCCTGTCGCGGTCTCATCCAAACAGTCATCAAGTTCATTCGCGGCCTAGATGCCCGACATCAATCAGCATTCTGGCCCGCATACACACGGAACTGTCTCGCATATCCCGGGCTATTCTGCTACATGCTCTGTCTTCAGAAGCGACAGCCTGATATGACGGCCTATGACCAGAACCTTCTCGCAACGTGGAGAAAGACTCTCCGCACGCGAATGCAGTCGTGGCCTTTTCTCCGATTTGCAATTGTTAAGGTTGACGCGATTTACTGGAAGAAACTATACCAGGATAACAATTGAGGTTTTGATTGGAGCACGTGGAGCATTGATGTGCGGGAATAGCCACTGAACCTATAACGAGAAGCATTATATATCAAGTGGTCATAGATTGAAGCATAAATAATTTGATATGTCATGTCTTTCGTTCTGACATACTCTGCGTTTAAGCGTGATATACTTCTTTGTCGGGCGAGAGTTAAATGGCCAGGACAAATGATATGCCGCGCTGTTCATGAACTTAACCACTTACTTAAGCGCTGATATTGAGAACGCCGAAATAAACTATAATTGACAGGTTCAAAAGTATGCTCACAGCCAATCACTACGTTCAGACAAAACTGGTGTTTCATAAGTCACTTCAGCCTGGATCCAGCCACGATGATATCGATTGGCTGGCGGCAAGAAACCCGTCCATAGGGCTGGAATCTAACTTGGACACGGACAAATCGGATCTCTTCCGCCACAATCGTTCACTGGTGATTCGAAGCATTCTCTCCATGAGGCGCAATCCGTGAGGCACAATTGGTCTTCGAGATCCCAGGCAATGAAGGGACATATCGAACTAAGTTCTCTACTGATACAAGCCCTCAGCCACAAATCTCAACCACAAACAACACATGTAGCTCACGCGACATGTCGAACGTTCTTAGCATACCGGTGAATTGGAATTGGCGTCCCTCGACACATGAGCTCATATCACTCACATTCACTGGAGCTGGATAACATACGTGGAGCTTAAAACCAAATTGACCATTGAAAAGACAGCTATACGGATTATGTCTTATAATAAGCCTCGATGATGTACGTTCAAACGATCCAAACCATTCCCGCTTAACAACATGGTTCGATGACGGCTCATTAGACCTCCCTCGTGTAACATGACCTTGTAGGCAACCCACGCCATGCTAGGCACGCCTGTGTTGTCTCTCCTGGACGACGTCCCGCCAAATAAGAAGCGCGGATATGTCAAAGTCTGAATATTGGAGTTCGGTGAATATAATCCTCAAAGTCTGCCTTTCAATAGCCCCGACTGACTCTTCACTCGTGTATAAAAAGGATGACTTCTCCCCTATGGATGGATCCATGCTGCACACATTGCCCTTCATTACACAATATACACCAAACACTTCTTCTACTTAAATCTAGAAATCCGTCAACACTCACCATGACTACGTCCCGTTATTCTACCCTGTTCCGCAAGTACGACGATAAAACTGACCTCCCATCAGTAGACAGACGTAAACAACAGCAACTTATCAAGGTAGAACAGAATCCCAAGGATTTATTCTTCCTGAACGTCACAATGACGATCTTCTACCGTCTGGCTCGCCTCGATGTTGTCAACCACGTGTGGAGTCATTCTCACCTCCACCTTGCTGCCTTCTACGGATGGGTTGACATCATTCAAGACCTGCTCAACTTGGGCAGCAACCCTGATGTCCAAGACTCCAAGGGATTAACCGCTTTGCATGCTGCCTGCGCCTCTGGGGAGGAAGGCACAGCGGAAGTAGTTGAGGTTCTGCTAAAAAATGGTGCTGATCCTAACCTCAAGGCCGATGCTACGGAATTCGCTCCAATACACCACCTCATCGAGGCAAGTTGCAATGCAGCTGAACCATGGGATTGTAATGGAAAATGGGAGGCACTGCTGAAGGGAGGAGCCGACATCAATTCACGGGACAAACATGGCCGGGCACCTATTCATCTCGCATCTTGTATTCCCTGGTGTAATAACGTCTTTGCTCTTCTTCACAAAAGAGGTGCAAGACTTGACCTTATCGACCATATGCGGAGATCTATTTTGCATTACGTAGCTATGTACGGAGACCTGGATCACATCTCATACCTACGCAAGCATGGCCTTACAGAGCCGGACCCAGATGGCAAAGACATTAACAACCAAACTCCGCTGGGTTGGCTAGGATGGAGGATAAATTCCAATCAGGAAAAGCTCTTGGAAAACATGAAACGACCCACTGAAGAAGTCATCAAGGCCTTTAATTCTTTGATCAACGAGATTAGGATCCACCGCTGGCAGGACGGGCACGGCACAAGCTATCAGGACGATAGCAGTTGCTGGCGTCAAGTGAAGACTACAAAACATTTGACCCCGGGGGAAAACCGCATCAATCTCCCCATCAGGCCGAAGCCTACCCTTACCTCGCCGCCATCTATTGAACAGAAGATGCATGTTAAAGAGCGGAGGGCATATTATGCTTGATATAAGGGGACACTAGGGAGCTTCCATAGACGATAAGTCATAGTGAGCATTACCTTAGAGAATATCATCCGGCAAAAACCACTGAACGTTCAAAGACCCTGCGAATAGGAGAGTCAAAGTGAGGTTGTGAGTTATCTGTCAATTACGTGGAATACCTAACAGCGCGTGGAACAGGTCAATTCAGAATGGACCACCCAGACTCATTCCTCAAGCGGTGCTGCAAGCAAGTCCACGCTGACCCCAAAGAAAAGCCGGCCATGGCGATGTGGGTAAGCCCTACTTCATTCCGTATCGTTGGAATCTTTGGAGAGGCAAAGGGTTATGACAACATGTAAGCTTCGCATATTTCTTTGTAAGCACTGATGTTATTCACTAGCAGGAAAGACATTTATTGATCAAGCACAATGCAACTTGGCGGTTTGGACTCCAGAGATTACGGGATTTTGAGTTGATAGATCACCCCACTGCTGATGCTCACATCACGCGCCTCACACGATTACGGGAAGCGAACTCAGACGTAAGTTTTAAAGTAAGTTTATAGCAGATAAATTTGATATATGGAGCTTATAATTCGAGAAAAACTTTTATATAAAGGGGTTTATAGTTTAATACGTGATTAGTTATGAATCAATTCCTGCCACATCGCATTCATTTCCTCTTAGCTGAATCTTGGGGGCTGTTATCACGCGTCAACTTACAACTTAGTCTTCTTTGTCCACTTAGATTGCACCCTCAACAAATCCCCACTGGTTTGGCGTGGTAGCCTTTTTGCCCCCTCCATTATAAACACCAGGACGCCATTGGCCTAAAGCATACCGGGGAGCATGAGCTTTCAGGTCTTGATTCTATCTACAGATAATCCATCTTACACAACAATTCACGAGAGCATAAATACCGCCTTTCATTGTATCCGGATCTTTATAAAACACCTCAGCTGGGGCTTAAGGTTTATACTGGTTACGAGCGGCGTTGAATCAACGGCTGAATTCAATGGCATGAGATTGCTGCCCGTCATAACGGAAATCTCCAATAATTCTGAAGCTCAATGAAGAATACGCTGCGTGGACAGGGAGGTCATTAGTTGGATGATTTCCATCTACATTAGCCTGACAGACTGCAAGTCTGCAACGCAGGGTACGGAGGAGATAAGAATGGCGGACAAGGTTTCAACCTTGATAAGGAGAAGCGGGACAAACGGCAGCATGGTCTGTAGGTTCTACGGCAAGAGTAGGCATGGTGATATGCAGGGTATACACAATGTGACACCCGAGGGTAATAGTGATTGGCTATGCTGAGTACTGGGATATTCAGTGCAACAAAGGTGATGGCTGGAAGTTGACGAGTCATTATTTCTCGCTGGCACATGACATTCGATGTATTCTTCAACGAGGCTATAGGCTTGTGCATAGGCTTGGTGACATATTACTATTACCTTTTCTTCTTCAGAGACGAGCCAGATGCAGCATCGGCAAGGAATCGATGCCCAGGCATAATAACTGACTACTGATACCAGTATGAAACCTTGATCATGGTATCTTTTGTAGATGCGAGCCTTCTCCTTCAAGTCTCACAACCCATGCCGCCTTATAAGGCAACCTGTGCATGATGAATCCGCCAGCCACTAATACGTCTTTCGGCAGTTGCTCTCACGACCTTCCAGTTACGATTCGTTAGCCCAATCTTGCGATAGTGAGATGAAGTCCAGTAAGGTTTCGGGGAGCAAAAAGAGGCGGGAAACCCGCGTAGGCACAAGGTTCAATAGACGGGGCCGTCTCGATATAGATTTACGGGTGGCCCAATGACAGCTGACGTGTCGAAGTCCCACTCTGGAAGGTAGTTAATAATCTAGAAACACTTTATCGGAGGATTTATTACCCCGTGATACTGACATTATCCTTACTATAGTCTTATCTTGGCGATGCTGGTTAGTTATGGGGATAAGCTTGATGGTTCGCTTAATTCATGGAATGTCCAAGCTGGAGCAAATGCCATGACACGCCGTGAGATGCCCGTCTCAGCTGGGCAGTGAGTCCTGTGCAGAGAAGGGAATATTCTTTTTCTAAACTCAAAGCAGTAATGATAACATGCTCAGCTATATCACCTGCATCGTGAGGTGCCTTACATCCAACCGCTGCGCCATTCGGCCGCTGTAATTTCCAACCCTGCCTGACTCATAAATCCCCAAGCCTACCTCGTGTCCAACTACCGATCTACAAATCCCTGAGCAATCCCCGGACCTTTTGAAACTCGCTCACTTATCAGACTGATATCATCAGGGCTCGTGAGCTGAGCTTACGTGTTTCCCTCCGAGACCGGGGTCGTAGATCCCTGCACCATGCGGCTCAAAGACCATGTTACATCACCCCAACCAATCGGGAAATAGATGAACAGGGACATTTACGGTTCAACCTGTTACATTGACGTAAACTCAATCGGTGGATATAACGCAAAGAGCCATAGCCTCAACTTATGGACTTTTCACGAGTCAAGAAAACCATTCGTCGTCGTAAGTCTTTGTGACATCAGCGCACGAACCGCTTCTGCACGGCCACCAAGGGAAAAACAACATGTCACTCCGCCCTTTAGTCTACACCAAGCGCCGGCACTGTCCTGCTGATTAACCCGTGGCAATGCCGGGCAGTCCACCCACTCAGGCTTCGAGTATGGAGCCCAAGAGGAAATGCCGTGAAGATCGAATCGGATCTACAGGAGAATCCCTTGTCGTAAATCGGGGCGCCAATAAGTCTAAGTGGGATGGAGTGGACCGGCGGTAGGACCTTTGTGATTTGATTTCAGGTTTGGATAATCTTCGGCCGTGTCATTGCAGATTAAACTTCATATTCTGCCTGTTGATCTATCGGCGAGACGAAATTGGGTAAAAAGTGGAAGGGCTGTGATGAGAGTTGGAGTTGTTATATAGAGATGGAAGAGCGCTGTGATAAAGAGGATTATCAGATTTTCATTACTCTGAGTCAAAGGATCATCTTTATTACCGCTTTGTTCATCGAGATATGAGTGTTCCTTGCTTGTTGCGGGAGCTGTGCGACCTCCCGTCAATGGCGGTCAAGCAGAGTCAACAATTCAAGTCCATTGTAGCACTCAATCCAGACAGAGCTGATCTCTTGGCTGCAATTCCTACAACCCAACAACATTCCATCTCCTCCCTGTATACTTTATGTTGTCTTCTCGAGGAATTACCTGGTCAATGGCCAGTATTCCAACTCATCAAGACTTATACACGACTCTACACACAACTCCCAGAAGATGCCAAGACAAACAGCACTGACGAGCTCTGTTCCTTCATTGAGAAGACTTCAGCGCTAGTTAAGAGCTCATATACATCCTTTGCGCAGTTCATTGGCTGCGATGACAAGCCAGCCCTACGAGCCCCCACAGATGAGGATGTCATCACCCATCGCGAACTACGACAATTCGTTGACAACTTCCAACTTCCTGTTGATACATCAACCAAGAGACCTGTTGTTTCGATCGCATTACCAAATGGACCGTTACTAGCAGCAACATGCGTCGCTGTCACGACTTACTACACCGCATCACCAATCAACCCCGCCGCTGGAGCAGAACAATTCCGAGCAGACATTCTCCAAGCACGAGCAGACTTTATCCTCACAACGAAGGATGAGTACACAAAGCTCCAACTAGATGCTAGTTGGGTCCCAGATAACAAGATCCGGATCTTCATCATGGACTGGACTCGAGATGAGGGCATTTCGCTAAGGACAGTCGATGGAGAAGCTATCCCCACTGGTAGTGCTGAGCGAGTCGCTAACAAGGCTGATGACATTGGCCTGATTCTCTTCACGAGCGGAACGTCGGGTACCAAGAAGGTAGTCCCACTGACAGTGCACTCTATCATCGCTGGCGTTGCTTTCGTCATTGAATCATGGGGTCTTACAGCTAGTGACATCTGTCTGAACATGATGCCCCTCTACCACGTGTAAGTCACTTCACCATCCTGCCCAACGCTCCATCTGACAGGAGAAAGAGGAGGTTTAGTTCGCAACATCTTTGCACCGATATTCTCTGGCGGTTCTACGGTTTGCTGTCCCTCCTTCGATGCCAATCTGTTCTGGGACGTGGCTGAGACCATTCAACCAACATGGTACTACGCTTCACCATCGATGCACTCCATCATCATCGCAGAAGCAGCTGCACGACCTGAGGCTTTGCAAAGAAGTCGGATACGGCTAGCTTGTAATGCTGCTGGTGGATTGTTACCATCTCTGGCGTATCAATTGAGGGATACGTTCAACTGTGTCGTCTTACCAAGCTATGGAATGACAGAGTAAGTCATTTCCCCTCTAGCCAACCGTGATAAATGCGAACAGACTTAGATGCATGCCCATATCTACACCTCCACTAAACTACCGTCTCGATCGTGAAGGTACATCAGGTATCAGCACCGGCCCCGAACTCACTATCCTCGACTGGTCCGAACGAGCCGTCATAAATGGCAGCGTCGGTCGAATCTGTATTCGCGGCGAACCTGTATTCCCTGGGTATCTCAGACCCGATGGTACATACGACAAGTCACCTTTCAACGAAGCCGGTTGGTTCGATACCGGTGATCTTGGATACATGGACAATGATGGATATCTTTACATCACCGGTCGGAGCAAAGAGGTCATCAACCGCGGCGGAGAGTTGATTTCTCCATTTGAAGTTGAGAATGCCATTATGACGGCTTCGAGAGCGAGTGAGTCACCCATCTATGGAAGGGTTTCACAGGCTTTGGCGTTTTCGGCATTGCATGATGTTCTGCAAGAAGTCGTCGCTATTGTGCTCATCACACCTCTTGGTGCTCCTCGTGTTGATCTGAGGACTCTTCATGGCGCAATGAAGTCTTCTCTACAGCAAGCGAAGTGGCCTGTTTTGATCACTTACATGGATGACCTTCCGAAGAACAACAACAAGGTCCTACGTATCAAGCTTGGTCAACGGCTGGGATTTCCTTGTGTTTCTGATGATACACCTTATATGGCCAGGCATTGGGATGCTGCTTGCCCTCCAGCTGATACACCCTTGTCAGAGCCTATCCGATGCTTGCCTTGCTCTGTTGACTACACAAAGCTTGCGATTCATATTCAGGCCATTGTACCAGACCTCGACGTTTTTTGTCTCCCCAGCACTCACGGTGGTTCTCCAGAAGCCGTCCTTGCGCCTAAAAAGACAGAGGTCACCGTTGGCCCTGAAATTTCCAGCATCATTCGACATCGACTGGCATCTACCATCGACAACTACATGATCCCTACCGAGATTCACATCATGGCTCACCCATTCCAGAAGGATTCATCTGGAGACATCGACGTGGAAGTACTACGAGCAGAGCTCGAACAACTTCAAATGGCTTCTATAAACGAACTGACCGCCAGCACAGAGGGACTCGTCGCCAAAGCCTTCGCCGAAGTCCTATCCATCCCACCCCCTGATATTCCCCGCGACGCAGACTTCTTCAGTCTAGGCGGCGACTCCCTTCGCGCTGGTCGTCTTCTCTCCATGCTCCGTAGCGAGTTCAGTATCAGCCTTCCCATCACAGCAATCTTCAACGGCGGCACCGTTACCACCATTGCTGCCCATATCGACAAGATGCTCGATAGCAAGACCAATGAGTCTGATCAACCTGGTGCTATCGTCGGATGTACCGAGACTTACAGTTCCACCAACCCCTTCCTTATGATCCTGCAGCTCTTCCCCCTCGTGGTCTTCTACCCCCTCCGCCGCGCAGTCCAATGGACAATCTTCTTCGTAACCCTCGCGCACTCCCAAAAACTCCCCACCAACCATTCCCTCCCCGGCCGGTTTCTCAACCTCTGTGTCTCCATGCTCATCGCGCGCATCATCATGGGTTTTGTATCACCCATCGTCGGCATCATCTGTAAATGGCTCATCATCGGTCGCTATCGCGAAGGACTTTACCCAATGTGGGGAATGTATCATACCCGATGGTGGCTTGTGCAAAAGATTATTGCGATCTGTGGCAAGGGCTTCTTTGATGCGAATGAGACGACGGAGAGGATTTACTGTCGCCTTATGGGGGCCAAGATTGGCAGGAATGTTAAGCTTGAGGGTGCGACGATTGGAGAGTGGGATTTGATTGAGATTGGGGATGACTGTAACCTTACAAAATGCATCTGTCGACCTTTTGCTGCTGAGGGGAATACGTCGATGTATCTTGGTCGCATCACCATCGGAAGCAACTGCTCTGTTGGAGTCTCTTCTATCATTGCGCCTGGGACTACCATGCCGTCTGATACATGCCTCGGCTTCAATTCATCGAGCTGGGAGATGCAGGACGCGAGTGAGGAGTACAGAGACCAGCTTCCAAGCCAGAAGCCCAAGCCTCATTGGGTGTTGAACCTGCTCTTCACCACGCCCCTTAAGCTCATCGGCCTGTTCCTCTCTGCAGTCCCTTGGATGGCCGGCCTTGTCGGAATGGTCACTACACAGGGCCAAAACGTGAAACACAAGGCTCCATTGAGGAGCAGTGTGGACTGGTTCACTCAACCCAACCGAATCGCCTACCATTATCTCGCGCTGGCTCTTGGATGCTTATTTGGTCCATTCTTCCTGTTCGGGTTCGTCATCTTGGTCAAGTCTATTCTAGACTGTATCTTTGGAAAGCTCAAGGCCAGCTCGCGATCCACGGTGGATATCTGGAGAGCGAACCTGATCAAGACGCTGTTGCCTGAGGGGAAGCTTCACCAGATGACTTCCTTGTTTGGACAGCACTACGAGGCGACATCTATTGCGCTGAGGATGCTGGGTGCTAAGATTGGTGAGCGCGTGTACTGGCCTGGTACTGGTCCAAGCATCGGTGACTACCACCTCATTGACGTTGGTAACGACGTAGTCTTTGGCTCGCGTTCTCACCTCGTTACTTCTGATGGGATCGGTTCCGAGAAGGTCACCATCCAAGACCGTGCCATGATCGCTGATCGAGTTTGCCTCCTCCCCGGCGTCACAGTTGGTAATCGTACTACCATGGGATCTGGGGCGCTGACCAAGAGAAATGGCAACTATGTGTCTGACGGTACCTATGTTGGCTCCAAAGCAGGAGATGCAGTCTGCTTGTCAACTGGTAGTGACACCAAGGTCTCTCGGTCTCACATCCGCAACATGCAGTCGGAGGATACCCTGACCAACGGAAAGAAGTTCAAGGATGAGAAGGACCGTCCTGATACCCAACCTAGCACTACATCTGGAAGTGATGCAGAGGGCAGTGACGGCAAAGATGACTGGGCACAGCATCTTTCCCCGTTCGGTCGAGCTTTCTACCTAAAGCTAGCACCATATCATGTCCTGGGCTCCTTCGCCATCTTCCTTTACTCTGCCTTCTTCACAGTCTTCACCGCTGTCTACTGGGATGTCCCCAGCGTCTCATCCATTCAGTTCGTGGGCATCATGTTCCGGAGCTCTTTTCCCCGTGGCATGAACGTCTGGTTCGACCTTGTCGCCATCTTCCTGACCATGCTGGCCGGCATCGCCGTCCTCTCCACCATCCAGTCCGTTCTTGCGCTGGCGATCATCATTGGATCTAAGTGGCTACTCATGGGTCGTCGCAAAGCTGGTAACTACGATTGGGACAAGTCTCCGTACTGCCAGCGTTGGCAGATCTTCCTCAGCATTGAGCGCCTTCGCCGACAGTGCTACAAGGGCAATGGTATTCTCAATCTCCTCACTGGAACACACTGGATGGTCATTTACTTCAAGCTCATGGGTGCCAAGATTGGCAAAGACTGCGCACTCTTTGTTAACGGCACCCCAAGCCTTATGTTCACGGAGCCCGATCTTATAACTCTCGGCGATCGCGTCGTTGTCGATGACGCCAGTGTCGTCGCGCACATCAACACACGTGGCAAGTTCGACTTGAACAGGGTTGAGATTGGCGACAGATGCGTGCTTCGAACAGGCAGTCGGCTTTTGAGCGGTGCGCAGATGAAGAGCGACAGCTGCTTGCTGGAGCATACGCTTATCATGGGTGGCGACGTTGTCGAGAAGAGAAGGACAATGCAGGGTTGGCCAGCGGAGGAGTTTAGCGGGAAACGGATCTGATTTACATGTGGGGGGGTGATTGGGTGGTATAGCATATAGAATTCCTTGTAATGGCGTTTGGTTCGGTAGCAATAGATGGTCTTCATTCCAGTCGTTCGATTTTGGCTTAGTTCCGGTTCGCCGATGTGCCTGACTGGCGATGCTTTCATCGCGCGACTTTCCTCGCTAGGCCCGATTGAGGATCGAAATAGAACAAGCTTCACTAGTCACTGAGCTAGCTACAAGCTGGTATGCTATTCAAGGTCTTGAAAGTCCGGAATACGGCATTCCAACTGGGTCTGGACTCTGTCATGTGATTACAGATAGGATTTAGAACAAATCTCCTTTTCTCCATCTCTAGGCATCCTTCTTCCAGCTGTCATAGCGAGAATGCTGGACATAAAGATGTCATATTCATATGAGCAGCTCTTTGTCAAGCCTAACTATCTCTTGTGGCAAGTTAGCTACATATTGTGACAAACCAATTGGACATTGCTAACTTCGAATGCAGGCTCAAAAACGCTCTGATCGGTATCTCAGTCCTGACGTTTTCCACTGTCGTCTTCTTCGCGCTCCATACATCGCCTCACCTCCCGTTCCGACCGAGCACTATTGAGACTTCATGGGTTCCATCAGACCCGCCAGCATGGCCACCGCAGCCAGCTGAGAATAGCCGATACACCGACCGGCTCGTCAATTACAAACCAGAACATCCTGTATTGAGTGAGGTGCAGCCCATAGAATCCAAGCGTCTTGCCGTGTTGCTACCAACCTTTGTAAGACCTTTATTTTCCACCATTTCGCTTACGAATCTAACACTATATCTAGGATGGACATTTCCCTCAAGTCTTTCGCTATTTTCAATCCGTCAAATGTCTATGCGTCGACCATGACAAAGTGGACTGGCACATCATCGTATCCAACTCTGCCGAAGTCGAAGGCCTCACCAAGCTTCTTTCGACCCTCGAAGACTGCAACCAGACGTTCAGTAGGTGGAATACACCAAAGGACAACATTCCCGGAAAGGATCCGGTCTTCAACATCGTGAACCTCTACGACATTCTCCCAGCCAGGCTTCGACCGGACCTTACACCCGAAGACACGAGCGGTCTGCTGAAGAAATATGATAAATATGCTTATCAATCTATCAAGAAGATGTCCGCAGCTGAGCATTTTGACTACGACTTGGCCATGTGGCTCGACTCCGAGGCGATATTTGTTACACCGGGCAAAATCAGAGATATTTTTGAGGGGCATCTGCAAAACCCCATCGTCTGGCGATCGAGAATGTCATTTCAAGACCGAGAGAAATTTCTGATGAGCAAAGCAGCAGCGACTCTCGGGCGGTCGATTGATTCTTTTGGGGATCAGCTTTGGTTGCTGGAGTCTCTCCAGTGGATCATTGAGAAGCCTATATGGAATGACATGGTCTCGTCCGTTGAGATGGCGCACGGTGGCAACTTTTGGGATATTTGGATTGAGAACTCTTATCCTTTTGAGTTGCTGGTGTATTACCTCCATATCATCGCACGCAAGATGGAGACTGCCAATTCGATCTTTTCGAATTATCGTATCCTGGAAACCGAGCGTGAGCTTATTCGTTTTGGACTAGGTAAGTATTGCTTCCCCCGTTTGTGGTCAAATCTAACTGTTTCCAGCTGAGTCTATCTCAGAAATGGAGGGCCGAAGAGGAACGGGGTTTATGGAAAGACTCCCCCATCTCATCACGAAGCCTCACTCGGTTTTAGCACCGAACTTGGTAGCGTTCTGCAAAAGCTATTCACTTCGTGCGTTGAGAATGGATAACGTGGATAACTTTGAAGAGACGGCCCTCGACAGTTTTCTGATTGATGGGGATATCAAGATGTTGGTATCGGGAGCACCAGATATTCACAAGTGGTGGGATGACCGGATACAGAATGGCGAGAATATCAATAATACCGCAACCAACTATAGGTAAAGAAAAGGTAGCTATAAATGTAGAGATATTTAACCTTCTTTTCATAGAAGGAAAGATTGGATATTAGGTACAGCAGAAGGCTTAGTCAGACCTGCTTACTCTCATATGCCTTGCATGGTGTATTGTGGCTTGCCTCTTGATTATTAGGCAGCAACTGGGCAGCATTGCCTCAGCTCAGTCTTGGCATTAATGGTTTCGGCTAACACAGGTTCAATTTATCTTCTTCACTTCAACCATTTTCATCAGACACGAGCTCATTCGCGCTCATCCCTTGCTGGTTTATACTAAAAGTATTTCGAGCTAAGACGCGCGATGCAACCACCAGCCGCCGCGTCTATCAACCCAAAATAACCATCTCAGAGAAACCCTACAGGCGCTCTACGTGTATTCCAGCTAAGATCGCAGCGATGGAAGACCCTGAGAAATCTAAGGCTGTTAAACTTCTTTCACTTGGTATGTGACTTTTGTTGTTCAAATTCTCCACTCCCCATCACGATCTGTTTGATTAACACTTGGTGGATGGCGGTGGCATTCGTGGACTCTCCTCTTTGATTGTTCTCAAACACTTGATGAAAAGGGTGAATTTTGCAAATCCACCAAAGCCATGCGACTATTTTGACCTTATCGGAGGCACAAGTACGGGAGGGTATGTACTGCCATCACTCCTTTTACTATGTGATCCGATGTCTAACGAATATCTTCTTTACTCTGCAGCCTGATTGCCATCATGCTCGGCAGGCTTCACATGAGTGTGGATGGATGAATGCATTGACAAATATCTCAAACTCTCAGAAGCAGCTTTCAGCCTCAAGAGAGTCAAATCCAACGTTTTTGGTAGAAGCAAAGACGTCTGGAAGGCTTTGGGAAAATACCAGTCCGATATTCTCGCTGAGCAGTTCATCAAGACATCGGGATCACTGGAGGGCGACGAACAGGCCTCATTCTATGAGACTAACGGAAAGTGCAAAGTGTAAGTATACTCCACAGTTTGCCGACCTTTGATCGGGGCATTTGACTATTATGCGTTCCGACCACTTGTAGCTTTGTGTGTGCCCATTCAAAAGCCAACAACACCCCTGTCAATATTCGTTCATACACCACGAGTACCTCGGTTGATAGTCTGTCCTTGTCCCATTGTAAGATCTGGGAAGCTGCACGGGCAACCTCAGCCGCATCTGGATTCTTCGATCCCATCAAGATCGGCTGGCAAGATTTTGTCGACGGTGCAACTGGTAGAAACAACCCAGTCGACGAGGTATTGAGCGAGGCTAAAAGTATCTGGCCCGATGCTCTATCCAAAATTTAGTGTTTTGTGAGCATTGGGACAGGTATCCCCGAGCCAAAAGACTTCGGAGAGAATTTGGCGGAGATCAAGAAAGCAATTATCGCCATCACTACTGAGACCGAAGACACAGAGCGGCGCTTTTACGAGAACCATGAGTCCTTTGGACTTGGCGGTCGATATTTTCGTTTCAACGTCGACAAAGGCTTACGGGATGTCAGCTTGGACGAGTTTGACAAGGTTGGGAAGATCATGATCGCGACAGAATCTTACTTGAGCGGACCTCGAGTCCAGGATATTATTCAAGAGTTGGTCCAGGTGGTTCCCGTGTCGTCGGTATATGGTAGGTAATTGTCATGCTCGAGTGTTTTGTCAGAGTGTTGTTATTAAAGTAAAGTCCTCTATTAGCTACTGTCGCCGAAAAGGATAAGAACGACTATCTGAATTGGCTCCCGTATCTCGATACACGAAGCACCCATAACGAGGCGAGACGCTATCGCACCGACAGCACAACTGGAAACTGGTTTCTTGAACATAGCTTTAAAGATTGGAAAGCCAAGTCGAATTCTTTCATGTGGTTACATGCAAATGGTACGCACTCATCCTTCGTAGAATGCACTGATATTCTATTACTAAGATATCTTAGCTGGCTCAGGAAAGACTATTCTGTCTTCCACGATCATCAACCATATCGAAAAGCAGGGAGAGGGAACAGTGGCATTTTTGTATTTCTCTTACCACATGGATAAGGACCAAACACACCTCTCAAGGTTGTTCCGAATCTCCCTCATACTGCAGATTCTTAGACCTCTGATTGAGCCCGTGGGACCTAACTTCCTAGTACCAAGGAGGTTCCGGGAGCTCTATCATAAGTATCAGCCATCACAAGAACCAAGTGACGAAGACCTCGAAGCGATTCTTCGTTACTTACTGGACTTGACACCTCAGACATTCATCATTGTCGATGCTTTGGATGAATGTAGTCCCAGTGGGGACCAACTGGATGTCATTGAGACACTGGGCACTATTTCACTGATGGCCAAAACCGAGTGTCATATCATCATAACGAGTCGAAAGGAACAACTTATCGAAGAGGCCATCCGAGATCTAACATTAGACAAGAAGATCATCCCGTTCGACATTGCCGAGGTCAATGCTGACATTTCCCACCATCTGTTGAATGTGGTCAAGTCAAAGCCATACTCAAAATGGTCTCCTGAATTACAAAACGAAGTTATAAAACATCTCGTAAACCGGGCCGATGGTGTGTTTCGATGGGCTGACTTGCAGATTCGAGCATTGGCAGGGCAAGTAAGAGAGAAGGATGTTCGGCGAGCACTCTCACGACTTCCCCAAGGCTTGGAAGCAACATACGAGAGGATGTTGAACAGGATAGACGATCAAGACAAGTTTGAAGAGGCATATGCTGTCTTTAGGTGGATTGCCTTCTCGACAACGAGATTGAACTTGGCAGCTGTGTCAGAGTTGGCAGCTTTCGAGATTGAGGACCCTGATTGTTCACCGGAGTCTGATGACTTCTCGATTACTTTCAGCACTCGTAATCGATTTGATGAGCCTACGGAAATGCAGAAACTTCTTTCTAGCCTCGTCATTATTCCTGGTGACGATAACCCGTACCGAACCTTTCCTTCCTTTGCGCACAGCACCGTACTGGAGTATCTGACGAGTCCAAGGGTTTTCCCCACAAAATTTCGCCTGGACCGTATGGATGCTACTTGGTTCATCTTGAAAAGCTCATGGGCGTATATGAGGCACTACGATACGTCAACCCAGCGATCCAAGGTCAAACCTTATCCACTCCTGGAATATGCCTGCTATCAGCTTTGGGAATGTGCCCTGGAACTCACGCGGCGCAGCATAAGCTTAAAAGGTCAGGTCTCAAAACATATGACTTCGACATCAACTGAGGGACTTTCAAGCGATGGAACTTCCTCGAAATTCTCAGTCTGGTGGTTCTGTCACAGGATGGAACTCCCAAAGAACTTCCTAACCATGACTGTGCTCGACCTTTTGAGTTCCTCAGAACTGCAACATCAAGTGCCGTCTTGGGATTCTCTTTACTTGACAACTTCTATTAGCAACGGTACACTGCTGATCGATGCTGCTGGGGCTGGTGAGTCCAGAGTTGTCAAACTTCTCCTTGATATGAGGCCCATTGAAGAGAATTTGAGGTTTCTAGACATGGCGTTGCGAGGTGCGAGCAGGAAGCCCAGGGACCTATTTAAACCCTACAGGAGTATCATATCGGGTGGCGAGAATACCACCGTGTTGACAGAACTGCTTCAAGTGGGTGCCGATGTTAATGGCGTCAGTTTGTCAGGCGATGCAGCGATACATCTCGCTGCCACTCATGGCCACATCGATATTGTCACGTTTCTCAGTGAAGGGCAAGAAGTGCATCGAGATAGTCCCAACAGGAAAGGAGAGACTCCACTCTTGCTGGCTTCCATGCACAGTCACACAGCTATTGTCGCACTGCTACTAAGTCTCCGTGGTTCTGTATCCCACCGGGGGGATGAAGAGGGCAGGACTCCGCTGTCTTGGGCAGCTACGAGAGGTAACAAGGCAGTTTTCGAGCTCCTGCATCGGGATCAGATTGTGGACGTGAACAAGGAAGACTGCCATGGACGTACACCGTTGATCTGGGCCTCAATCGCCGGGCAGGGGGATTACATCAAAAGCCTATTAAACGATCCGAGAGTTGAGCCAGACGTACGTGATCATTTGGGTAGAACCGCTGTATCTTGGGCCGCATTTGGTGGGCATTACCACCTACTGGGAACGTTGTGGCTAGACTCCCGAGTCACGAAATACCCATGTGACTATGAGGGGAGAGATCTGTTATCTTATGCGTGTGGAAAGGGCCATACTCCTTGATGGGCAAATTGCTCTCGGCAACCGATCTCGATATCAACAGACCAGATTTCTATCAACGAACGCCACTGATATGGGCAAGACTTCGAGGGTACTCTGACATTCAGAAATTATTACTAGATGATCCAAGAGTCCTCGATCTAGTCCCAGAAAGGCATCCAACGCTTGTAACCGCGTCCGTACAGCTTTCCGATGAATATATTTGGGACAACCCTATGACACCGCCATGTAACAGGGTCGCGGGACAAAGGGAAGCCAGTAATACTATTCCGTTAAAAGAGATATGCATTTCCAGGATATCCACCGTCGATGTTGTTGATTCTGAGATTTGGTCTCTTGAATTTTCTCATGACGGTAGGTACTTGGCAGTTTGTCAGGATTCAAGCCATGTTCTTGTCTGGAACGTATCCACAGGCCGGCCCAAGGTCTCACTCCCAGGGCATGACGGGGGAGTTCCCAACGCTGCTTGTGGACCGAACAGTTCAACGTTACTGACATGTTGTCGTGATGGTTATTTGCGTCTCTGGGATGTTGAGGTGAGCTCGTGATTGTGGAACTTCGAGACAAACGGTCCTTTGGTAACTTTACTAATACTCTATTTACACAGCGTGCAGTTCAGCTAAGATGTTTCAGACACCCCAGTGGAGAGCCGTTATCACACTGTGGGATGCAGGAGCAACAGTCTTTCCTCGCCGGTTCTCTAGATGACATCCATGGTTTCATAGAGGGCGCCGTTGACGTCGAAACCCCGACCTTCTGGGAAACGAGACATCGTATGCAGTATTTCCAATTCTTCCCCGATGGCAAACGCGTTGCCGCGATCGATGATGTAGTCACGCTTTATATCTACACTGCCGATGATCAGAATATAGAGCGCAGAATACGGCTTTCGAGCCGTGCTAGTTACCTCTCGGTTAGTAAGGATTCAAAGAGCATTCTGGTGCGGCTGGCAAGCGGGAGCATGCTCTTGGTCGACTCAGCGACTGGTTCCATTCGCGCTCTGTCGCGTGGCGGAACTCCTAGTAATTATGTAATTGGGTGTTGCTTTGGGGGATATAATGAATCTCTAGTTCTTACTGGGGGTGAAGGTAAACTATCCGTGCATTTCTGTCTTATACACTTCTGACTAACTTGATACATATAGATGGCTATCTCTTCATTTGGGACCGAGCTACGGGGAATTTGGTCTCCCGAGTTAAAGCTCATAGTGCACGTTACAACGACGTTGCTGTTCATCCGGCCTGTTCCTCGCTGTTTGCATCCTGCAGCGATAATGGGACGTTTTCCTTGTATGTCTTGTGAATCACATCATTAGCTTTCTGTATGATATTCGAGATCTGGCAGCGGCTAACTTTGATACAGCTGGAAAATTAATAGCTCGAGTCGGGATAGCGCTCTGATAAAGAAGATTTGTGCTTGGTATGAGGATGTTAGAACCCCTACAAAGTAATAGTAAAATAATCAAAGACAGCCTACGGGAGCATATTTCGGGATATACTATGTAGAATGGGGAAGATCTGTATTTCATACATATTTATTTTGGTTAAATTTGTTCAGACTCTGCTACTACCATTGACTAAACTACATAGTATCCCGAGCCAAGCTATTCATTCACGCGCAGGTTACTTCGGTGCAAGTCATGTGCTTGCTTTCTCGGCTGTATGTATCACTGTTACTATTAGCGATGACAGCGCTGATGATGCACAACTACAGCTCCTTCTTTCCCAAACTCGAACTACACACGGTATCAGTCTTTGTATACGGTAGCCTCTTGTGTTTTAGGTGTTCCCCGGAGGGAACCACATTGGGAAGGGACAGCAGTATATGTGGCCAATGCAAGATGTATTGTTCTTGCAGACCATTTAAACAGTGCCTAAGCCAAATACCCCAAGTGATAAAGTAGTTCACACCCAGGCCAGTCATCAGGTGCCTAGATCTCATTAGTCAAATAACGACACACAATCTCAGTGCAATAACATACCACCACTGCCACTTGTTAGCTGTCTGAATGTGAGAAGTACTAAGTTGTACGTACCCCATGGCCTTCTAGGAGTATGCCCCATGGCAATCCTAGCTGATGTCTCCATCGGACGAGATCACCGCACCGTATGTTGTCAAATTTCCAGGCGGCAATACCTGCGGCACATGTGATGAACCCCATGGCGATAATCCATCGCATTTCACGAATAATAACCTGATCTCTTCGGGCTTCCTTGTCTGACAGCAAAGTCCGTTGGGGTTTGTTTGCGTACTTCTCCCGCAACGTGGGACGCAAAATTGCTTCCATCGTGTACAGACTCCGGAACACTGTGGCAAGGAAAAGGATGCCAAAGGCATTCTGGTGGAATGCGGGGTTTTGAATGTAGTGGTAATATGCCTGGGAGGAAGAATCAATTTGGTGATATGCCATGCTGGAAGGATTTGAACCACATACTGTGATGGAGACAGAAAGCAGAAAGAGTCCGATCCCGAGGAAGATCGAGAACAAGCGAGACCTGTCGTGTGTGAAGATTGCATAGCAGAGGATGGATGTTGTATAGATCATGGAAAGCTCATCTACGAGCTGCATGGGGTCTAGGTTCCTGTCAGCGAACTTGAACAGCTTTGAGGAAAGGGAATACGATACATGATAAGGTCGCGTGAAAAGCAAAACTGCCGCAGCCTACCAGCAAATAGCCCAGGTATGCGATGACAAATACCGTGTCATGTTGGTACTTGAGGCAATTCCGCACTCCTCGAACGCCAAGCGCGATGAATAAGGCGTTGGTCAAAGTGTTGGTGATTTCAGCAGCGTAATGGCTAATGACGTAGTCCTGGTAGGTATTAGCTATGAAGTATTGCGGTGGTGAGAGGTGTTGGAAATGACTGACTTCTTCGCACCAGTTCAAGGTGGAAGTTGGCTGGCCCCAAAATCCTTCTTGTGGTGGAGGGTATGGAATACGGGGACTGAGGTTCTCGAACATGATGAAATGTGGCGGCTCCGCTATAGGTCTCAGATTTGGTTCAAGGGGTCAAGATTGCCTAGTGGGTGGGTGCTTCGGGGAAATCCGTTGTTGAGTCTCCAGGACTTGGGGAAGGGCGTTCACATCTACTATTTATTGTTTGACACTTTTTTATTCCGCTCTATGTATTCAACATCAGTGTTTTGCTGGTGTTATGTGTTTTGTCAAGGGCCCTCCAATTCCGGGTCCCGCGGGTTGTGACACACAAGCCTACACAGGCCTCGGCCCTCCCTCCATGACGCAGCGGATAGAAATTGCCGTTAATTGGCCTACCTACGGCACCGTTCGGGCCCGACCTCCAGACTTGAGCTACTATCTGCGTGTCGTGAACCACGCGACAGCCTCGACCGCCACCAATATAGCGCCTCAAAGGGCCTCACCAGAGCTAATAGAGGTCCAGATGAGCCGTCTATCTTAAGAGTCTCCACCAATACCATAGTGGTGGGATGCCTAATAAACTCAATTGCGAGCCGCTCCCACAACAAGATGAATAAAGAAGACTATGTCAGAGTGTATCGGTTGGTTGTTTGGTATCTAAAGACGATATCAGCGATAATAAAAGGCAGTGCGCACCAATGCACCCATCGTGGTAATTTAATAGAGCCGCGGGCACCGACAGCCCAGCCGACAGTGCCCCAAACTTTTGAGAGCCAATGCTACACAGCTATTTGCCGTGCCCCGTTTAGACTTCAGCTAAGTGACTTGCTGTATTCCGTGCTGGTCTAGGTTAGCTCCAAGCGACAAGTGTCGACGGCCAATAACACATCGAGACATTCTACCAAAATGCCTGACCAATTGCTGCAGCGATGATGATATTTAAGATTTGGGGCGTGCTTGAGGAATGGAACTGAAAGTCAATCGGTTAGCGCTAGCACTGCAAAAATAATACGAATTTACAGCCGTTTCGGCCGTTAGCCTTGTGGACGCCCGCCAGATGTCGCATACTAATTATTTATATAAGGTATCTCATTCCCAACCGCTCCATCGACTGCCTTTGAGCCATAGATTGTTCCTTATCTTCGACATTTGATTCAGAATGCTTTTGAATATCGCGTTACTGCTTAATGCCGCGGGCGCCATCGCAGCAGCGAATCGACCGCAGCCGTTCTCACTCCCTTCGAGCGACTCCCCCAGTCGAGCTGCCGCAATTGACAAGACGCGTCAAGGTTTTCAATATGGAAAAGACGATACACTCATTGGTGTTAACCCATGGCCTGCGGGGCCACTGGGGAAAAAGGCCGTCAAGGAGCAGTTCAATGCGTTTATAGCAACCGAGGAACCTTACTTGAAGAGCGTGGACCAGGATACTGCCCACGCGCAGAAGTCCCTAAACGGGGTGAGTGACAAGCATGCATGCGTCCGATGATGTAATTGCTAATTCTTCAATATCAAGACCCTCCATTTAAACTCGTTCGAAGACTATCTGAAGCTATACGATGGCCAGTGGCAGAAGAGCGTTCCCCGCGGTCTCGCCGATGGCGTCCTTCGCAATGCCAAGTCCGATCTGTATTTTTCAATGGAGCGCCTCTCCGTACACCCCGAAAGCCTACGACGAGTCAAGCCGGACGAGCGTGTAGCGCTGCGCGTACAAGACAGTATTGCCCGAAAGATCACAACCAAGACACAGCGATCTCTCCAGAAAGAAGGGCGATTATTCATCGTCGATCACAGCAGTCTGGCGAACCTGACTTTGACAAAGGGTCGTTATGCCGGTGCTTGTGAGGCGCTGTTCTTTATTCACCCTTCTTCAGGGGATTTCTTGCCATTGGCTATTCGTCCCAACAACGGCTCGCCTTTGGTGTACACTCCTCTCGATGAGGAGAATGACTGGACTTTGGCCAAGATCATGCTTAACGCCAATGATGTCTGGCACAACCAGTGGTATCACCTCGCGGCAGCTCACATCTCTTCTGATCTCATCTACATGTCAGCTACCCGATCATTCAGCGACATGCACCCAGTCTGGGGCCTGATCCGTCGCGGTAAGTTTTACTAAAGAGTTTCTCAGATAGCAGAACTGATCGTCTCGTGTAGTTGCTGTTAACTCCTTTGCATATCGCCCGGGAGCTAGTGCAACGCTCGTTAACCCCGGCGGCGACATCGAGAAGAATTTCGCTTGGAACGGTGGCCAGGCAATCAAGTACAGCAAACAAGAGTGGAAGACGGAGTGCGCCCCTTGGCAGGCCAACTATCTCGAAGCGAAGCTCAAGCGACGTGGTTTGATCGAGTGCAACTACGGTCCCGAGTTGAAGTCCTTCCCATACTATGAGGATGCTTCAGTCATACTCGGTGCTCTACGAACCTTTATTAACGCGTACGTTCACGCATATTACCCTTCGGACGCCGCCATCACCGCGGATAAAGAGCTCGTCGCATGGTTCCACGAGGCAGCCCATGCAGCCTCTATAGTCGACTTCCCCTCCTCCATCTCCACCAGATCAGAACTGGTCGCCGTGCTCTCGCATCATGCCTATATCATCACAATCATGCACGGTTCGCTGAACACCAACAGTCTCGTGCATTACAGCGCCGTTTTGCCAATGCACCCGTTGTCGCTTTACAAACCGTTACCGAAGCAAAAGGGCATCTCCAGCATCGTGCCATTTCTTCCAGACCTAGAAGCCTCGATTCAGCACATCGCGCTCGTCGCCTCATTCAATAGAGGACAGATTGGCAATACTACTGATTCGTTGCATTTACTTTTCGAAGAACCCCAGTTCCATTCCCGCATCAACAAGAAGGCGCGCGCCGCTGTGGAAGTGTATTCGGCTACTTTGTCTAGGTTCAGTAAAGATGTCAAAGGGAGAACGCTTGATGGCGATGGGTACAGTCAAGGAATGCCGTTTGTGTGGAATCTCTACGATCCAAGCACGGCACCTGGCATCCTTGCCGCTTAGAAGACCATCGTCCTAATGGTCCGCTGCTGTTTATATATCCAGGCTTTGTGTAAGATATGAAGTATATATCAATACATAAGAGCCTAACTACAAGACCCTCTCTCTATATGACTATAGACTGAAGTTAGTAATGTCTTGTAACCGAAGGTATAAGCTATTCAAACAGCCTAAAGTGATAGTTGAAAAGGTATAAACGTTATTTTGAGTTGATAGACCCCACTGCTAAGGCTCACATCACGCGCCTCACACGTAGCCAGGTCTTAGTAACTCCACCCCTATCGTGTTTCACGGGTCGCAACATGTGCACTATTATACTGTCAGTTCCTTCCTCAAAGAGCTTAGTGTACGTCAAACTTACTGCGAATGCTCCAGAATCATCTCCAGGAGCAATATATAACTGACAATCGTTTGTATCTGAAGCGGAAAGTTTAAAGTCGCTGTCAGCGAGTAGTTACGAAGCATTGAAACCTAAACCTGCTGATCTTAACTTCGGATATTGTTTTTCCACCGCTTAGCTTTACGGCCTGGTCATTCTGGTCGTATAAAGGCAGCACCAAAGGCGGGTTCTTATATCTAACAGAAACAGAACCTTGAAAACCTAATTGTCATAAGTCGTGTTATCAGTAAAGCTACGTATGGCAGTGGCTTTTAGACTAATTCTAGAGAATAACTATCTACTCCATATTTGGGTTAGCATAGAATAGTAGTCATTGTTTTTTACTACAGGTACAGCACTATAAAGGGTTAAATTATTATTTACTAAGCCTTTACTCGCACATTTACATGCGTTAGATATATAGGGAGTTATATCTATTAGGCTTGGTATAGCAATTGCTATAGCGATTACTATTTTGTGCCAAACCTGCTCCGTATTGTCATCCATCATGCTCATTATGTTACAAAGTAGGGATAATGTATGGGGCTGCAGAAGTCTACTCGTGTAAGGCGCGTGATGTGAGCATCGGCAGTGGGGCCTATTAACTCAAATAACACTTACATTAAATCAGTTCAGGCGGTATACCAGCTACCTAGCATATTTGCCCAAGAGCAGAAGTGTACTCGGTGAGCTTGATACGTGGTCAAAAGCTGATGTTACTATAGAGAACTTAATGCACCGAACTGTTATAGCTGAACCCTGGAGGTATGGGCAACTCGCTTTGGAGAATACGAGCACACGGACAATACAAAATACTATAAAATGTCAGAAACCTCCTCTCTGTTTTGCTTTCTGATTCTTCCAACTTACCTATTATTATCAACAGTAACTATTACTATTATACACAAATACCTCACCTACCTTTACCTTTCAACATACCAATAACTGCATCTACAAGTAAGTCTCCCCTTTTTTATTATATACGAATATTCAGGCAATAGATTGTTAATACTTCCGTCTACAGAACATGCAATCATCACTCGTTTTCACCATTTTTCTGGCCACAGCTGTTTGGGCTGATAGCTGTAAAGAATGCCAGCGCTTTAGTATTCAATCAAAGTCGACTGCTTGTCCCGATGATAACAACAATTGTGTAATGGGTACCTGCAGCGACAAGTTTGTCTTTCTTCATTGTTGCTGCCCAGATTCGAATCCTCATGTCGGTTGTGGATCTGAGTGTAACTAGTGGAGGGTAAGGAGAGTGAGAGATGGGGGGAATATTAAAATGTTGAGAAAGTCATGGGTTGCTGATTAACGTCGACATGAAAGATCCCAGCAGTGACGAAGTAGCTCACCAATCTATCCAAACTACGCATGACCTGGCACGCGACATGTACCATGACGACAGATAGTTCCAGTTTCACGATGGTACGCAGTGCTCAGGCACGTATGTCCGTAACCAACAGTAACTAAGTGTTAGCAGCAGCCCTGATAACACAAACCCCGATGCCGGGCAGCCTAGGACTCAAGAAGCAGATAAGAACTTTTTTTTTTATCTGTGTGGCTTTGGTGCACATATTATAATTAATATACATTCCAAGTCTTTCCCTCCGAGACGTTCACTACTCAGTCATCGAGTCATGAGCCCAAGTGCCCTGCAACCTTAAGTCTGCACTCATCCTGAAACTGTCGCAAGCTGTAGAACCACAAAGCTTTGAATTCCTCCTGCTAAGAAACCGACAAAGCTGGACCACTCCGTCGGAGCAGTGACATATAGGGGCGGTGCTATAACCGTGCAGATCAATGCTAGCAACATTGGAGGCACCCAAATGCGCTTCCGCAATCGCGGATCAGCCCTCAAAAGGATTCCAGAAATGAATAAAGTAAACCCTTGCGTAATGCAGCTTTGCAAGAGAAACCAGAAATCTGCGTCTTTTGTAGTTCCCGGTGTATGGTCTGAGTAGTTGTAGGCAAAGGCAAAAGTCCAGACATTAGAAAATGTTGTTCCGATGAATGTCAACCAGAGCATTGTAGTGAATATCTGTGAGACGAAGCTAAGTTCATGTTCAAAGTTGGTCACAAGATATACGTACACCAGACTGTGTTGAAAGACCTGCTTTAGTGTCTTGGGGCGAGACTTTCGGTTGCGCTTGGACCTTGCGTGCTATTTCGGGCCTATAGTATGTTTTAGCTCGCTTCCTGTGTGGTTTAATGGAGGACTTACCATTTTGCAACCGCTCGAGGAGACTGTGAATGCTGATGGTATAGACTGAGTGCGCTTTCGAGAAGATCCCATCGCTCGGAAAGCACCAGTCGATAATCAGAGGTAAGCACCCCCGCCGATCCTGCATCAAGTACTGCAGCCTCTATATCAGAGGCATATTCAGTGATTCTCTCGAGGTTGTCCAGCGTAGGTTGGTGTATTTCATCATCCGTCAGGAGAATCTGAGACAGAAATGAAAAGGCTCGTCCCCAGTAGTAAAGGATATGTCTCTCCTTGAGGTAGAGGCTACTGAACACAAAGCGTCCCGAATCGACATCTCGTATCTGAGTTATGATCGTTTCCAGATCGTCCAGGTCGTTCAGAGCCAAACTCTGCGCTGTTACATCACCTGCGTTGAGCCTACCAGACACGATTTGCTGGTAGAAATGCTGACAATAGACAAGAAGAAAGTGGTCTACTTTAGACAAGCTGCGCGCCAGAGCATACAGCTCTTCATCTTTGAGCGCAGGCCCGTAGTTGCTGTTGATAATTGCTTTCGGCGGTTGGATTGCTATTGGTATCAGTAACTATAGTGCAAGGCCGCGATCGTGTGTACTTACAAGGAGAGAGCCATCCCACGTTGGTTCGCCTGTACGGAGCTCGCTGTGAGCTTTCTCCTTCACTGTAAGATGTCGTTGAGGCCATGATTAAAGGTTCTTTAACCTTTCGACTTAATCGCACGATGATAGACTGGTTGCCTTGGGTAGGCGGGGAAAGCTGGAGAGGAATTTACTGGAATTAAAGTAGTTATTGATAGAGGCGCAGCCTATCAGCCGTGTATTTATTAGTGGAGGCGCAGCCCCGTCGTGTTTTCAGCTATATGCATGTCTTAGACATTTTAGCCTGAGTTAGCTAGTTCATAGTAATCAAGTTACGGTGTAATGGGCGCAGTATACTAATTAGTAGAGGCGCAGCTCCGTAGTGTGTTCAGCTGTATGCATGTCCTAGACATTTCGGCCTGAGTTGGCTGGTTCATAGTAATCAAGTTGCGGTGTAATGGGCGCAGTATACTAATTAGTAGAGGCGCAGCTCCGTAGTGTGTTCAGCTGTATGCATGTCCTAGACATTTCGGCCTGAATTGGCTAGTTCATAGTAATCAAGTTGCGGTGTAATAGGCGCAGTATACTAATTAGTAGAGGCGCAGCTCTATAGTGTATTCAGCTGTATGCATGTCCTAGACATTTTGGCCTGAGTTAGCTAGTTTATAGTAATCTAGTTACAGAATGATGAAAATCTCAAATTCTCCCATTGAATAACCATAGGACTATTGCGGTTTATGTTGAGATTAACAATATCATTACTAACGGCCACCGCCAATAGATGACTTTCTTGGTGCAAGGTTGCAGGCACGCAATGATAGCTATATTGCAAGTAAGTAATGTAAATAATAGACCTATTAAAATAATATTATGCCTAGGATGATTTATCCATATAGTACTAGTTCCTCTCATGGTAGCTCAAAGGTTCTTACGTCCCGCTTGAAGTAATCTTCCTGTTGATGATTTTTGAGCAGAAGATAGATCCAAGTCGCGAATTCCATCAAGATACTCCATAGCCATGAAGACGAATTTCCAGCGTTCCAGCGAAACATCGTCTCATCGTGCAGCTTCTTAATGTCACCCCGTCTTAAGGCCTCGTAGGCCTCCATTATATAAGGGACACCCTTTGATATACCTTTGCCGCGTACGTGGGAGAACAGGACAGCATCTTCAATAGCGATACCGGTACTTTCGCCCTGGGGTGGCATCTGTTTCTTAATGTCAGATTTAATAACCGGTGAGAATAGGGTACACTACTTACAGCGTGAGCGGCATCTCCCAGAAGAAGCACTCTCCCCTTCCTCCATCTTCCTTCTGGAGGAAGCATATAGACAGGATAGAAGTACCAATCGCTTTCGTTAATGATGGTCTCCAGTCCGTTGATGCTGCCTTTCTTGAAGCGAGCCGCAATATCCCGTCTAAGTGTGACTTTGTCTTCTCCCAAAGCCTTCCATCCTTCCCGTGCGTCTTGGTTCTCTGCCATTGGCATCATCGCTAGGGCATACACCTTTGCCCTCGATGGTTCAAAGTAGGTCATCAAGAACGACCCATTATGACCTTGAACCATAGTAGAGTCCCGCAGGATTGGCTTTCCGCTTGATGTTGCCACATCAACATGTCCAGGGGAATCACATTTGACGTAGCCGTAGGCGATGGCACGGCCAGAATAGGTCTTCTTCCTTTCACGATCCACAACCATGGTCCGAACGACAGAGTGTATCCCGTCGCACCCGAGGAGGATATCGCAACTGATAGATTCGTGCGACTTATCGGCATCAAAGTGCACGTCAACACGAACTGTTCCCTCGCCATCTCCCTGATCGTCCACGTGTTGTATGTCGGTGACTCTCGCACCATAACGCAAGTTGACACGGTCCTGAGGCAATTCAGCAACGGCATCCGCCATACACTGCACAAGATGATGCCTCATCACTCTCAGCACATCCGTTCCCGGGGACATCTGCCCCAGTGTGCGACCAGTTCGAAGAGCCACGACGTCGACACCTCGGATCGGGATACCCAGCTTTCGTAATCGTGATCCGACGCCAAGAGCATCGAGGTAGCGAAGCGCCAAGGGTGTTAGCATAATTGTTCCTCCGAGCGTTTCAACTTTTGGGCGCAGTTCGAGAATAGTAATACGGACCGGCGAGCCTTGGATGGTGGTTTGGGAGAGTGCGAGGGCGGCGGCGAGGCCCGCTGGACCGGCGCCAATAATGATGATATGCATTATATTTGCTATGGCAGATCTAGCGACAGTCTTTCAGTCAGTTTTGAATGGAGAATGACGAACAGGTGATGCTCCCGGGCGTCCATCTTATAGTTGGGGGAACGCCACGGGCTCCGAGTCCCGAGTGTCGACAGCAAAAAGCGCAAGTAAGAAACAAAGCACTTCGGAGCAATCGAGGTCCGACAGGACCTGGTTTGAAGGGCAAAAGGTCTCGCACCCCCGACGAATTGAACTGTATAAAGAGAAGAATCGATAGTTCCGACAGTATTTAATCAAGGATGGCGTCTTTGGGAACGAATAAGCCGGCCAGGAATAACCTAGTGTAAGCCATCGCGTCGTGAATGAAGAATGGAGCGCATCTACTGTCCACTCATCTTGGCCTCACGCTACCGTTAGTTACTCCACAAATCGTATTGGTCGTATTCATCGCATTGGGCGGCGGAGCACATTTTCATAGAGCTCCGTAGGCCATCCCCAACATTTCTTCTAGTATCGTAGCTTTCACTAGTAAGATCATTCCTATCATGGGCATTCCGTTTAGCCTCTACCGCTGTAGACTGGTGCTAAACCTTGACAAAAGAATCCGAGTTACCTACCGACTACTGCTACCCCAGCTCAACTATAGGCTCTAAGTGGACTTATCAAACAAATCCCTATTATTAATTCGAGTGCAAATAGGCTTTTGGATCTATAGTTCTATTGATGCGTTATGAGCGCAAGATAAAGTCGTCTCCGAGGAGCAGAAATTAGTTATAAATACGCCATTTCTGACTCTTAATGCAGTCAGAGCAGTCCCAGCAGCCCTTATCACTCCAGCTCAACTTCGTATCGCCAAACTGATTCCATGTAATACCCTTGAGCTGCCAAACTCCAATTGCGCATTTTCCATACTCCTCAGACCAGCCCGATGCTTGACAGTCAGGGTTCGAGTTACAAAGAGCCGCACAACGCTCCTCCGAATCCTGGTTGGGAAACTTGGATGGTGCCTCATCCCACTGCCATGGGAAATAACCCTGATGTTGGCAGACCACATCGCCGTTGTCAACCTGCCTGAGCGAACAAACAGCGTCCTCGCTAGTAATGCTGGGTGCGCATGTCGCTGTGGGGAGAGAAGTTCTCAGCGATGCAGAGTATGCATCGCGATCTTGGTCGTGGCAGAAGCATTTCCAGCAGCTTTGGTCACTCCATTCCATATCCGAGTCGTCTCCGGTGCCGGGGGTGAATGCGGAGGTAAAGATGGAGTTGGAGGAGAAGACACAAGCTTGTTGATTCTGATCCCATGCTGAAGACTTGCAGCGGTGGGGCATTTGGTTGCACATAGCTACACAGTTCTGGTAACTGTTGATGCCCTCTTGCCAAGGGTACTCATTGTCTTCGAGTGTAAAGGTGTTCCTGATAGTTCCCGATTTACTGCAATCTTGATAACTGTAGTCGTTCTGATCGAAGGTGCACCCATCGGATAAAGCGAGGGTGCATTGAGGCATGGAAGACTCAGTGATTGTTGGGATGTAAGAAGAGCTGAAGGTTGTGAGAGGTTCAGTACGTGTTGGAGTCATTGTCGTGGATTCAAAGATACGTTCAGTCGAGCTAGGAGCCTGGCTGGTGGTATCATGCTTAACTGAGCAATCGTTGGAGCAGGACCAGCAGCCCTGGGAACTCCATGGTAGAATGTAATCATGGGCGTTCAAGTCCTGTGCTTCCTGGAATGCGCTGCTCGTCATGGCGACATTGGTAAAGATGCACCGTCCCCGTGCGGCATCGTGAGCAGAGGCAGCACAGCCATCCAGCTGATAACAGATAGTGGCACACTGTTCCGAGTTTGTCTGCATAGTAGCCTGGTCGAAATCGTTGTTGGCATAAGGCTGGAGGTCAACAGCGCCGAGGTTACCAATCTTCTCACAGACAAGTTCTGAAGATGGTGAGCTCTGCAAATGGCAGTTGGGACAAAGAGTAGGGACGGAGGGAGAAGCAGATGTAGTGACAATTGCTGGGAGAGAGGTGGTTGAAGGTGCGAGGGTCGAGGTCTCAGTATCCGCTGGGTTCTTGATGTCACAATCCTGACACTCGAAACAATCGAAGTCATTCCACATCAAAGAGTTTTGCGCATTCAGATCAATACCGACGACACCCAGTGTGTCACTAAGCATCCAGCAGCTAGTCTCCGAGCCCAGGTCGTACAGCGCAAAGGCCTTGCAAGCAGATCCCTCTTGCTTGCAAAGCAGGGCACAATCAGCGATGGAGTTTTGTCGGGGGTTGCTAGACTTTGTACGGCCCCATGTCCCTTGCTTTGCCTTTCCAAAGGCCCAGCAAGCCCTGGGGGCGGTGGGGCGATCATTCTCGGACCGCTGTGGGATTCCGGGCAAGGATACCGTCTGGGTGACTTCTGGCTGCACAGGGGTGCAGTATCCAGGTGGAGGGGCTCCCGCGGGGCAGACACGCGAGCCAGTTGGTAGAGAGCTTGCAGTCGAGGGGGAAATGTCACGTGCGGTTGAAGGATGCAGGGCGCTCGTGCTTGGGTCCAGAGTGAGAGTCGTAAATGGGTTCAAGGATGCTGTAGATGGGTCTAAGGTCGGGACAGTGAACTCATTCGCGGTCGAGGGCTCGCGCTGACTGACGGTGGTCTCGCTACCGATGTAAGACATAGTAGTGAGAGACTTGGTTGATGGATGGAAAGTCTCGGTACCAGGACCCGTGGAAAGACCAGTTGTTGGTTGTGAAATCTCCGAAGTGACGGTTGCAGATCCAGTCGAAGACTTGGTGCTCCCCTCACTGCTCGGCGCGCTGGAGGTCGTAGATCCTGCCGGTGAACCACTTGTAGTGGCAGCATCATTTCCACCACCGAAATCAATTGCTACATCGTTGACCGTCTCGGGAGTGACCTGGTTAGACATAAAGATCGAGTCGACATAGATAGCCGCAATTCCACCAATCGGGCAAGTGACCGACACTAAAAAGGCACCCTCCGCGTTGGGGACATCGGTTTGCTCAAGAACAGTATTCCAGTCAATAGCTGTTCCAATACTAAGGATCGTCGACGTGAAGAATTGATGGCCGGCGATGGACGCGCTTAGTGTGCAGACGTTGATTTGACTGGCGGTAACCACGGCGTAAAAGAAGCGAATGGTGTATTTCTTCTTGATGTCGAGAGAGTCCAGCTGTTGAGAAATGCTGACGATGTTTCCAATGGCTCTCTTGCGTGCGGGAGGGTTGTTGGCGGCTTGCAGCTCAACACAACCCCTCTCTTTGCTGCCATCGCTGGTAATACCCTTGTTCTCGACAATTTGAGCCTGACCTTCAACGACGTAGTTGGGGATGTTGCTTGGGTTGGTGGGATCTCTGATGGCGAAGTTTCCGTTACCGATCACGTTCTTGACGACGAGAGGTCCCTTTGTCTCCGAAGTAGTCGGGGCAACTGTCGTTACCGTTGCTTCGGTGTGGCTAGTCGTACCATGGGGCTTACATGGGCCTGCTAGGGCAACATTAAAGTTGCACAAGAGAGTCAGGCCCGCCAAAGCGAAAGAAGAACGCATGGCGAAGGTTTAACGAATGTAGTGGCCAAAGTGGCGGTAGGATGGTTAGCAAAGGTAGCGAGAAGACCTGGGCAGCGGCATATCGACTGTTTATGAAGTATTTGGCTCCAGAATCCGGTGGCCTCGGCCCCTAATTAATTGCAGAAATGTCCCAAGAGGTCGAGACGCTTATTCCTACGCGATGAGACTATTTACTTAAAATCAACGGGTCCGCTCAATCGGTGACAACTAGTGAACGCCTCGTCCGCTGTTCCGACATGGGAACCCTTTCCGCTTTTGCGGAATGAAAATGGTTATGAGGCGCATTTAGGTGTTGTTTGGCTGCGTTAAATGATCATTTCACTATAACTATGGTGCTGAAGCCTTTGAGAGTATCAGTTCAATTGATTACATATTATCTACCTCCCAGAGATAATTATGTGTTTTTCCGTGATTGCTGGACTTTGGAAACTTACCCCTGACCTCAGCTTGACACTAGCGACTAGCCTCTGTCTGTCAAAGTTCTGTTGAAGCCTGGAAGCCAATAGTGTGTTATAGCGCTTGGCACTATTTAATCTTCGAAATATGCTTGCCGTAAGTCACGCCATAGCGCTGTTTTGGAGACCCTGATATTATGGGATTTAGTAGCCAAAAGAGTAGCTGCTGTCGGAAGTTCCCGTTTTGGCTTTCATCGCTGCATCATTGTCATGTCATTTGCAGTAAACTACCCTATATTTCCAATTTTAAGTTAGTAGTCGTCTGCTTGTTTTGTGGCAGGCCTTAAATTGGTGAGCCTTATTTAACTAAATTCTGTCTGCTAATTTAACCTCTCAGTCACGAGCTCCAACTGTAAATAACACAGTTAACAAGCTGAGCTTCTCAAGGTTGAGAACAAGACACAAAATAGCAATTAAAAACCATTCCCGAAATGAGACAGAGTATCCAAAAACAGGGTACTGACCCTCGCGCCATTTACAGGAATGAATTAAGCTGGGGTATCAACACGACCACCTTCGCCCTGGACCTGATATGATCCTTCCTGGTGGAGACTTGAGCGAAGAACTATCTAGGCTCTTCCTTGAAGTCCATGCCCAGAATATCAACCGAAGTGCTCACAAATACTATGAGACACAGTCCAAGGACGACAACAAATAAAACATTCTTTAGGCCTCACAATCGACAACAAAGCTTCGGACGGCTACCCAATCAATGTCGTCTATCATTATTACGCGCGTTTGTTCTTCCAGTGGCGATCTCTAACATTTCTTAGGCGCTGGATAAACGGTGTGTAATCTTGGTTCCATAGCGACGCAACGACTCCAGCATATCCTTGCGAACCAAGTGATACGAATTTACAGAAGACCTGCCACTGATTTTTTCGATATAATTATTCCTATGCTGATAGGCACGAGTAAGCCGTAGGAGGAATGTAAGGCGCTTTATCCAGTATATGTCGATTACCAAGGAAAATGTCTGCTGGGAAGGCATGAAAAGGTGAGCTTCGGAACTTTCAAGGACGAGTCATCTAGGGTAGCTCGTAAATCGGAAATTGCGACAGGTTCAACCCGCCGCCATTGGAGGAAGGATCGATCGAGGCTAGGAGAGTTTGTACTAGCTGGGCACTCTTGATTGGCTAGCCAAGTTCTGGTTCCTGGATAAAATCGATAGTTTCAAGATAGGCTGCTTTTTATGCCACTATTTTCTCACAAAGAGATTCAGGAGATGAGACTCACGATAGGGGCCGGAAATAAATGCCGAGAGCAGGTAGATAAAAGACAACCGTTCTCCTCGATTCTTGGCGTTTTTAGTTCAGCCACTCTTGTGATTATCACCATGAAGTTTACATTGTTGTCTGCTTTGCTTATTGCATCAGCGTCTGCCGATGCAGGCACTTGTACTCAGGTATGCGCAGAAAGTCACTGTAGTATTGCCTCGTTGACAATTACAGGACGCATGCCTCAAGGCAGTGGGGCTGTCCAATTGTCGAGCTCGAAGATGGCCGCCTGCACACGAGAGTGATTGTTCCTCATTTCTCCGATACACTTCGATCCCTTCGGCGACGACCGTGACTGCGACTGGGGAGCAATCGACCGTGGCACTGAAGGATACTGAGACTCTGGGCCCGGAGACGGACGAGGCGACTGCGACACAGTCCGATCAAACGTAGGTGTTTTAACATTTGCAGCGGGCTGGACTAACGATCTGCAGCGCCACAACCAGCGTTACCTCCGACCCCGTGACTGTTTTCGTTGCTGTCACTCCTACCAAGACTGTCACCGTCACTATCGTAAGTGCTCGGAAGCTCATACGTCATGAGACCATATCGCTGACTGCATTATAGACACCAGATCCCTACCTCGAAACTGACATTAACGTAAGAATATCGAGATGCCCACTGGGGAATGTAATGGCTAAAAGAAAATAGACCAAAACAGTTGTTCAGACTGATGTTAACACGTATGTACTAGCCTCCCATGATGAAGTCCCATTCTGACCATCCTATAGTATCACGGAGACAACCTATTATGGCCTGCCCTCCAAACGTGCTATTGGTGCCCGATCCACCAAGAACATTCTCAGGCCAACCAATATCCCATCCTATGCTGGATCATGCACAGATGCTGAACAGTACAGCAGCGCCTGTGCCTGTATGGGTGTTCAAGAGACGACCATCGAAGGAACTGCTTCTATCATCACCGAGACTGTTGAACCCCATCCTGAGACGGTTGTGAACGTTCACACGGAAACCCAGCCTGCAGTCACCGTCACCACAACCCTACCAGCCAAGACTCGAACTGTGACTGTTACTCTCCCCGGACCACAAATCACCGAGACGACCACCGCAGATGCTACTACAGTTTTGACCTCTTTCACTGCCGACCAAGATACCTCTGTAATCACCCAGCAAGTCACCGAGGTCGACAAGACTACCTCCGTCACCACCAAGACCCGCTCCGTCGGACCAATCTGCACCGCCTACACACCCCAAAGCGCGTGCCAGTGCAAATTCGAGGTTCTCTGCGACCAGGCAGTTAACGTTGATAGCTCAACCTTCTTAAGGCAGATAGACTTCCTCGTCTATGTTGGAAGCTTTGAGGAGTGCATGCAGCGCTGCGATAACAACCCGAGCTGTCAGTTTGGTGATTATGTGGCGCTTCCAAATGGTGGTCTTTGCTCAAGCTATAGTGGAAATCCGGGGGATTCTGGTACTGAATCCGAAAGTGGAACCAAGTATTTTGAGAAGGACGGAAATGTTGATTGCTCGTCTTGTTCATCGTAGAGCAGGGAAGGTTTTCGGAAGGGGTTGGAGCTCTCTACATCCTCATTCACTGTATGATAAGTTATTTTACTACTATTCTTGTATCAATATTGCAGTTCTTCACTCTCTCCACGGAAAAATCACATACTGGGGACATAATTGTATCGAGAACAGTATAGTTCAGCTGTGAATACCTCTTGGCGGTTACCGTCGGCGTTTCGCAATGTATCGGGTGAGTTGTTGCCGAAACCGGTGCCTGTGAACTATGAAGCGACTTGTACTGTGAAGGGCGTACAATGGAGTATTTTTTTACCCGATAGCCATCAAGAGACTACTTTATACTCACTCATGCACTCATAAATTAAACTATTAAGAGACAAACTGATTCAGCAGAATATAGTCTTCTCTATCTACTCAAAATTCCATCAATACGCGGCATAAGCAAGGCAAGCCAGTATGAGAATTGGTTTCCTGGGCTTAGGAACCATGGGCACGCCCATGGCCCTTAATCTACGCCGGCAATTCCCAGTCACTGTGTGGAATCGAAACGCCGCTAAATGCACGCCCCTCGTCGACGTCGGTGCTGAAACCGCAAAGACTCCTTCCGCGGTGATTGAGAAATCCGATGTCATCTTCACAATGCTCTTCGACGGCCGAGCAATCCAATCCATGATCGATAGCGAACCCAATGACAAGTTCATGAAAGCCATCCATGGCAAGACACTCATCAACACAAGCTCAGTGTCTGTCGACTTCAGCCATAAGCTTGCGCAGCAGGTCCATGATGCGGGGGGAAAGTTTGTCGAGATGCCCGTGAGTGGTAGTAAGGGTCCAGCTGAGCAGGGACAGCTTGTAGGCATGATGGCTGGTGACCCAGAGGTTGCTGAGCAAATCAGACCTGTTGTAAAGCCCATCACTACTGCTGCTATCTACTGCGGTCCTATCGGGTACGGCTTAAAAGCGAAATACTCCATCAACCTGTTCCTAGTCTCTGTGACAACTGGTCTTGCAGAATCAGTAAATCTTGCGCGAGCTCAAGGTTTAGACTTGGTGGCCTTTGGACAGGTCCTCAACAGCAGTCCTTTGGCATCTGCGTACTCAAAGGTCAAGATCGCCAAGATACTCAATGGAGATTGGACACCCCAGGCTGCCGTCAAGGACTGTTATAACAGCACTGAGTTGATCAAGTCGGCGGCTCAAGACGTGCAAGTTCAGACCCCGTTGATCCAAGTTTGCAATTCTCTCTATAGAGAAGCTCGCGAAAGTGGTTTGGGGGAGGAGGATATGATGGCCATTTATAAACTATTTTCGGAAACTCAGGAGAAATATTCTCAATAACCACACAAATAAACTAAGAGGGAATTGAGACTCTTCAGCTTATACAGACATCTGGCGATTTGACATAACGTACTCTGCTAATCACCCTTCCCGCCTCATCATGAGTTCTTGCCAAAAGTAAGGCGTCAGAGTATATACACTTTCGAGTCAGCCTATTCAGAATCAAGATCAGTAATTCTTCTACTCGTTGTTCAATATAAGATAAATTAGTTCATGCGGTTTATGAAAACACTGTGTTCCACTGGCGGAAGTTTAACCCTCGGGACGGTGGATTTTTCAGCCACTACAGGTGTCATTGAAGACGATTGGTAATGGCTCTTGGAGATGCCATTATTCTTTGTTCGACCATTATCCAGACCGCCAGTATCAACAGTCACTCTTTTTCGGCACAAAATGGTCTTTTCATAAGCGCCTGCGGATATGAATTTACGATTCCTGATCGGCCTTGGAAGCATAATGGCGTGCAGTTCTGCTCCTATGCTTGTGGCCGAACTTACACCTCACGAATCGCGAACGACCCCTAATATCCATGTGTAATACACTCTGGTACTGGGTAGTAAGTCCAATATCTCCAGAGCCATCATTCACGCCGACTAACGGGTTTAGTCCATCATCGCAACATGGACGACATACGGTACTTGCTGCTTTAACTCCGAATGATCTTGGAGACTCCCTACACCCCTTTAAGCACTACCCGCAATCATCAGCCTCACCGGACTCTGTTTTGTTCTCAACAGTCCTCGATAGCGTGTGGGCCCGGATTGTTATCATCAGTCACGCAATATCCTAGTTAAGTACCATACCGTTCGTGACCATGAGCGGACCAACCGCGTCAGCTGACTCAGTCTTCGCCCTCTCTTCGTCGTCGCAGCGTCATGCATGTTAGTTGGTATATGTGCTTTGACTATAACCGGCCGTTCTTTGCAAGGACCAAGTCAGAAGCCCCCGGTGCAGGCGTTCTTCCCTGTATCATCTTCTTCGCTTCTTTGTACAACATCTGCTGGAATCCACTGGCTGTCGCATGCCCAGTCGAGATCATCCCTTCAACTTCCGCGTCGGGGGCATTGCACTTCTCATGGGTTCCATCAAAGAAGCTAGTTTCCTCAACCAGTTCGTCAACCCCGTTGGGCTGGAGAACCTGGCTGGAAGTACTATATTGACTGGTGGCGCCTACTACGTGCTTTCATTGTAAACAGCGACAGCATGTCATATGATTAGTCATTCTATCGATGGTTCAACTCTTGTCATCATCTAGGTAGTAAACGCTAAAGATGACTGCATTTACAGCCAAGTTCGGCGGATTGAACTAGAATATCATGCTATAGTAAGGCAACATTCCCTAACATGCTTGTACGACCTGCTCCTATCAAGCTTTACAGCACTCACACTTTCAGAATATTAGCCACTCATCCACCGGACTTGGAGTGATGTGAGACTTACTGAGACAGATCCGGAATCGTTGTCAGGAACAACCATTGTAGAACATTGGCTGGCATGTTCTGTTGTACCACAGACGTTGAGGCCAGTCATACTCTTGCAGACTTCAATCGGAGACTGGTATTTAATATAAGTAAACGGATGTTTCGTTCACAGATTATGTCCACTTACACAAGGCGTGGTTCGCGACACGCAATCATCTGCAGTGGCGAAAGGCATAAAGGCAGCTGCCAAAACCAAGATGTTATGGAATTGCATAGTGGGTATTTCAGAAGTATCTGTACTTTATGAAGTAAGAATATTAAGATAAGTGAGATGAAAACAGCAGGTAATACTATGCTGGGGTATTAATACCCCAAGCTGGAAACTTCCCCAGGCCATCATAAACACCTGTCACTTTACCGACTATTGAACTGCCAAGACATATGATCCATTTTGCAAAGCTTATGACTGACCATTCACTTGGTGGGTAAATAAAGCACCGATACCAGCAAAACTCAAAATCGCAGATCATAACCTCGGTGTTTCGTTTCGCCTCTCAGCTTACGTATCTTGGTGTCCGTGTCGAAGAAAGGTGGATATCGATCCCCATATGAAGTGGATTACATATATTAATGCCAGACAGACCCTTGAAAAGTTAATTCTTATGACTCGTGGCATTTCTCGCAGCTCTTTTAACACAGAAGCGCCGATTTGTACTCCTCTCGTTATTGCCAAGCTTAGTGATATCACCGGTTGGGGACGTGTCTAGTCAGTGTGTTGAGATGTCCAGATTTGGGGCTGCTCTTCGATCCACACCAACTCTAGGGCTCATGATGACTGGGACTCGGGCAGGTAGAGAATCTTTTCTCATGCGTGTTTCCGAATCGGAAGAGTACAAATGTATGGCCTGGATCCGATCCGAAATCCGGAAGGGCTTGTTCAGCCGATGACCTGTCACGAACTGGACTATGGTTAAATCTCAATGTCTAAATACGTACTTAAGAATCGCATTTCAGCTGTCACAAAGTCAATTTTACTAATCACCATCTTCTCACAGCCCTTTTGTTCTAAATCACCAACATCTCTAATAAGAAAATGTCACCAGGTCGTCGCGATGTCGATTCCCCACTGTTGACGGACTAACCCTTAGGGGTTGGTTCTACACCGCCAGTGGAGATGGAAAGCATCCATGCATTATTATGGCAAACGGAGTGAGCTTTCTCTTAGTAATCATTAACTGGATTGTCCACTAATTTCTTTCCTAGCTGGCAGGTTTGAAGGAGCAGTTCTGCCCCAACTTTGCCCAGCGGTTCCAAGCCGCTGGCTATAGAGTCTTGCTCTTCGACCACCGCAACTGGGGTGCAAGCGACGGTCTTCCACGTAACGAGACAAACCCTATCCAGACTGGTCGCGACTACTCAGATGCCTTTGACTACGTTGCCTCGTTGGACGAGGTTGATTCTTCGAGGATCGTGTACTGGGGCACTAGTATGTGCGGCGGCTCCGTTTTGCACGCTGCGGCTTTCGACAAGCGTATTCGAGCGGTGATCTCACAAGTCCCCTTCGTATCCGGCGAACTTCTTAGTACACACCTCGCACCCATGATCGGATCCCTGTATAGTAGTCGACAACAGCTCAAAGCTGGCAAGCCTGCCCCACTGATCAAGCTGTTTGCCGAGACCCCCGAGGAGAGTCTCCAGCAAGACACTAAAGCCCTTATCCGCGACGAGAATCTTTGTGATTTCATCAAGGCTTTGGATAAGGACAAGCTGCCTTGCTCTCCGAATGTCACACCCCAAACACTTCTTAACATGATTGCATTCGAGCCTCTAGCCTTTATGCACCGCATTGCACCTACACCGCTCCTCATGGTCAGTGCAGATAACGATATTTGCGCACCAACTTTTACCCAGCTCAAGGCCTACGCTTTGGCGTATGAGCCAAAGAAGCTGGCTATTCTGGAGGGTTCGGGTCATTTCGACCCCTATCACGGCAAGGTCTTTGAGAAGAACGTCGAGGTACAGCTGGCTTTTCTGAATGATACGGTTTAGGAGTCTGCAAACCCTGTACCCTTAGAAGTCATAGTCTCTACTCATTGCAATTGGACCGTAAATTGTTGAAGGCACCCCTGGATACAGCGTGATATGCAAGTTCGAAGGCTGATTGGCAGGTTGCTTGTAACACAGGTCTCAGAATGTCCTGGCAGAACCTGCAAAGTGATTTTCTGAGGATTGGGTCCTTGAAGTAACATATTGACTTATGGCTGGCTGACGAATCTTCGAAGATGCGATGTGTTACTTGGAGTTGAGACTTATGGCTGAGAGCTTGAATCAGCAGATAGAACTTAGCGTTGGCATCGCTAATATCTATAACTCTGAAATGAATAAGTCAAAGATACTTCTTACTGAAAGTAGTATTCCCAGAGGTTAGTAAGGCCAAAGAACTGATTTCCGAACCTTTGTCTAATACAAAGTCAGCAGCAAATTTGTTTTTGGAGACAGTATACATAGAGTCTTGATATCTTGATATTCTCGACTATTTCGAATAAAAAGGCTTTATATATAACTCGCAGCTAAGACATGATACCTCCTGGCAAAACTACCTCCGCATATACCATGCCAAGTCACCGTCATTCGTCTCCCTAAATGTCAATCCATTGCCCATGAACTGAAACCGGTTCTTGCTGGTGTACTCAAACATGAAGTCCTCAGTTCTAAACTCATCCAGAATCTCCTTATAGTGAATCACACTGCCCGGATACATAGCCGTTACCCTGCCGTCGGCTTTTCCCTTCTTGAACCAGGACCTGCAGTCCCCCGTCCAAACAGTCTTTTTCATCAATTCTTGGACGTAGGTATTAAAGTCATCTAGCGCATCCTGGCGAACTTGGACAGATCTAAATGAAGTGGCAGTCAGTTAGTATGAGTACTCATGAAAATTGTCGCAGAGTATAACATACTTGATATTCTGTGTCGATATTTTCCGGATCCATCTTGCGATGTAGTCCACCGTGAATGACATGACAGCCAGCAAGCTTCCGTGTGCCAAAGGGGTATTGGAACCATTGACAGTAAATAAATTGGGCATGTTTGCTAAAAACACCCCAAAGTAGGCCTCTGGAGCGTCCTTCCACTGCTTAGCAAGCAAAATCCCATTCTGACCAGGCTTTAAAATACCTAGCCTACGGGTATCTATAGGTACCTATTTAATAGGGATAAGTACCTAGAGATACCTATTCTAGATACCTACCTACAGGCAGGTACCTAGATAATATAATTATATAGGTATAGGTACTTATAGGT